ACCCGCAAACGCAACTTGACCCCACACATACAGGCTTACTTCAATACCCTGAAGCCAAAGGTAAAGGCACTCTAGGCGAGCACTCTATGCGAAAGATGCGCGTGACAGACCGTTTAAGTTAAGCCAAACGACTCAGGACAAAATGCAGAAGTCGCCCTGCCTCTTTTGCAAGCCAAGCAGGATCCGTGCTTGCCACCGTGCCTCCCTGCGTGCCCATGGCGTACTTGCCTGGCATTCTAGCCCGTTAGATACATGCCCCCAGCTGCAACTGGGCGCACCGAATGTGAAGCGATGCCCGGGCGTGTGCCTTTCAGAACTCAGGTGGACCAAGCTTCGCAGATGTGTGCAGCCTAGCACTGTTCGACCGAACCTTGAGGGTGCGCCATGGGCAAAAGGATGCTTTTCTTCTGGACCTCGTCAGATTGCGTAGATTGAAGCCTTTCGGAGCCCATCCAAGTTGCATAACTTTGCTACCGAAGCAATCGACATGCCGAGGCTAAACGAGTTGAAATTATTGATGCAACACGAAGGTCACGAAGGTCAAACCACAACGACAGATTGAAACAAGGCAAGCCATCCCGCCGGGAATCTTGCCAGGAAAACATGCCTGCCCAGCACCCCCCCCCCCCCGGCCCCCCCCGGCCCCGGCTCGGTCATGGCCAAGGATGGCAAGGGTTTGGATTGTCTGTTTTTGCAGCGCTCATGGGCCCTCCGGCGGTGTGCACTGAAACGCCCGTGTGCCATGGTGTGCCATTGCCCCCCCCCCCCTAACTTTAACCAAGGCAAGCCCAACTCCAGCTTTGGAGTTGGCTCTCAAGCTTTGGTTGTTTATGCTGCATTGTAGATTCGCAACCACTTGAGGGCCGGAGGCAGGGAGGACGAAAGCTCGGGGGCCGGAAGCAAGAGCAAAGTTGCAAGAGAAAGTGCGGGCAGGGCCCAGTTGGAGGCATGCTTGAGGGGCCAGCGTCTTCTTTTCAGCCGTCGCAGTGTTGGGTAGATACTAGCTTCTTGCAATCAACTAGCTTGTTGCAATCAACACATCACTAGTGGGCGGCGACGCATGTTGTGCTGGGAGCCTGACTCACGCGCTGCGGTCAACACGCGACGGAGTCAGGTCTTGACGTAAAAACGCCTCCCCTTAAGGTATTGATATATCAATTTACCCCCCCCCCCCCACCCCCCCCCCTCCAAAACCAGGGAATTCGTGTGATGTATCAATTTACCCCCACCCCCCCCCTCCCCCCTTCCAAAACCAAGGAATTCGTGTGATATATCAATTTACCCCCCCCCCCCCACCCCCCCCTAATAAGATAGTATCAATAATACGCTGTTTTCTGGCCGTGGTCGGCCCCCTGCTGCTAAAGCAGATAAAACTCCAGCTTCGCTACGCGAGCTTTCGTGATATCATTCCTTGTTGATTAACCCTGGGGTTCTTGACCTCATTCTCATTCTGCATCACAAGGGGGGCTCTTAAAGAGAAGCACCGACTGTCACAGACTACAGGAAACTGTTCAAGGGCACACATGGCTCCCGGCAAAGCCCGGCCGGGCGACTTGCGATTTTGCCCTTCCACACTTTTGCCCCCGAACCCGCTTCAGATGGACCGCTCCTCTCTGGCCGCTAAAGACCCAGCAGACCCAGCAGACCAGCAGACCCAGTAGACCCAGCCAGGCGAGACACTCACGCCGCGCCTGGTTGACTCATGCTGACCCTCGGTGAGGCGAGCGGGCTCGGCCTCAGGCCGAGGCGGAGTTGGGACATCAACTTTAGACTCGGGATACTCCAGGATACTGGCCCGTTGCTTTGACTGCCGGTCTCCTCCCAGTTGCGAATGACATGCCAACCGCCTCCGATTCGTACCTTGGCAAGATGGTTCCATCCACCCATGATGTTGCTGCGTGGTCGGCATGTCAGCCTCTGGTCATGCTTGGTTTCTAAGGATGAGGCGGCGCTGCTTTGGTTGTCGGCCTCCGAGTCTATGCTGCATTCCATTTATCGGAACAACTGGCTGGACAGCCGTCTGCAATAGGTGCTAACCCGCCCCTCTGAATCTCAAATGAGCGAGAAAGCGCAAAGACGCGCATGCGAAAAGAAAACTGAAGCAAAATGAACATTATGAACACATACCCACGCGCAGTCTCCTCCAGGCCAGCAGCGCCAATAGTGCCGTCGACCTGTCGCACAGCATCTTTCGCCTTGGAACCTCATGGAAGCTTTCTTGTCACGATGAGCCATTCTGGGACCAGAAACAAACAAACGTGCAAAGCACGGTGCGCCGACGGCTCGGGAAACTGTTCTGGCCCGGTGGCTACATACCAGTGTGGAAGATTTTTGAAAGGTGTGAAAGACTGTAATTCGAGTCTCACCTGACTTCTGGTTGAATCTTCTGACCGTGGCATGACTGCAGGAGTATATATCCCCTCATAAATGGCGGGTGTAGGCGCCAGGTGCCCATGGCGCGTAGATGGGCAGATATGGGATCTGAGTCGAAAGTTTCCTTTGGGGCTGTCTGAGATTGCAAGTTGAGCGTCGCGCTTCATTTTGCCACATTGCAGCTGTTCGCTTGCGCATGCTTTCTGAGTTGTGGCCTTACTTCACGTCAATTGGGTGCTTTAACACTGTGACGATTCGTGGCGTGACTATATTTACACTGCGGGCATCGCTCCACAGGCACATATGGGTTCCGACATCTGCTGCCGGATGCTCTGAATTAAGAAACAACTTCCTTTTGAGGTTCTAAACACCCGGAAACGCACTGCCGTCGACGCAAGCCGCTTGCTCCACAAGCCCGAAACACAACTGTTGCAGAACTGTGCAGGAACCAGCATTGCTTTCTTCGGCTTGGCCCAAGGCCGGTAGGCATCTGGAACAAAGAAGGCAAGATCTGGTTTCCTCAATCCCGTGTGCCACCTTCCAGGACCCCTGCGGCCTGCGACCCCGCATCGCTACCCTATGACAGGCCTGAAACCTTGTAAAGTGCCTTGCGCAGCTACGCCGTTCGCTTCTATGGCCGTTAGGCACACCTCCACACCTGGGTCTGAAGCCCGAAGCCTGCCTGGGAGCCTCAGGTTTCCGCTTCCCGGATCTTGTCGTTGCTTGCAAGCTTTTTTCTGGGCAGCTTCGGAAGCAACAGCCTGTCTCCCTATGCACAGAACGGCAAGCCGAAAACCACCCCTCGGCTTCTTCGGATACATTTGTCCAAATGGCGAAGAGAAACCTTTGGGTAATCCCCTCCTGCCCTGGTAGCCGCCTCCTGCTATGCTGTCATGCCACCAAACGAGAAATCAACGACACTTCTCAAGTTCGGAAGCACGCTTATTTGCTTGATATGTTGGGAACCAGAAGCCTCTGCCACACCTGCGCCCTCAGCGCAAAGGAAATTAGACACAAGTAAAATGTACCCCCCTTAAACCCACCGATTCAAGATGCCCGGGCCAAGTTTTCCCCCGGCATCTTGAACCTGGAACCTTGAATCCCGGCGATGTCCGAAAGTTGATTAAACTGAGTAAGGTCTCGGAATTGAGTCAGAATGCAAATGAGGTCCCCGAGATTATTCAGAATGCGACTAGGCCCGAGTTTAGGGATACCCGGAACTGATTCAGAATGCAACCAAAGCCGAGTCAAAGGAATGAAGCCCCCGGGCTTGATTCGGAACGCGAGTAAACCTGAATAAGATGAAGCAGGCCCCCTGGTTTCCACGAGTTTCACTTCACGCTACTCAGTCGCTTAACATTTAGACTCAAACCCGATTCCTTAACAATTGAGAGTGTCCTGAAACGCTACTCGTTCAACACTTTGGCCCAAACCCTGCTCTTCTGATTGCCTGATAAGCGCAAGCAACAGCGTGCAAACACATACACATACAACCAAGTCAAACTTATAACATACTGGCTTCCCGCTCAAGCTGCAGACTGCGCGGGGATGATCCCGAAGCGCGTATGACAAGCACTAGGTACTCAGGCGGTGAAAGAACCCGAACAACAACATTCAACATCTCTACGGTCATCACGAACCCACTCACGCACTTCTTGACATCTTCTTAACTCCATAACGCCGTGCGAGCCCAACTCACATAGCACCACGCCGAACGGGCGCAGGAACTCCGACGTGCCCGTCCCATGGCTTGGTCGCCAGGCGGCAAGCGCAAGCTTTTGCAATTCCGAACCACTTACGCGTGCCACCTCGGAAGCAGCCCCCTTCAGCTGCCACGTCCTTGCATCCTGCACGAAGTTGTGCCGAGCAGTCAGTAGGTATGGGGCACAGAAGAACCAGCCTAGCTGCAGGCACAAGAGGCGTTACAACGCGAATCAATGCAACACGTACAGTTGCATGTCATGGCTGCACTTCTACAAGCTGACAACGCCTTGGTTAACGCACTGCCGTCCGAAGAAGTGCCATTCACGCCAGGCTGTCCAGAACCAGGCACTCCCTGAGCCCAATTGACAAGCCGGAAGAGCTGAGAGCGAAGGGACATGAAGGAAAGCAAGACTTCGGCCAAACACATAAAGAAAAGAAGTCCTGGTCTGGAGCAGCCCTTGTTTGGGTGGGCAGGTGGGGGGGGGGGGGCCTAGACAGCTCCGGAGGCCGACCCCAACTTGTACAGAAACTCGGGCCTTCAACGAACCGAAAAAGTTGAATCGAAGGAAGCTTTCGTCAAAAAGAGGCTTGGTGTAACCTCGCGGCCAAAATCCAGTAATTTGGTTTTCTGGCAGGACCTTGTGCTCATGGCCACGTCCATGTTTTAATCGCTCGCAGAGTTGTTCTTGGCCTGTGCTTTTTTTGCAGAGGTGGCAGCTGAAGTCTAAGCCTTTGGCTGAATGTGGCAGGGTCACCTGAATTCCAACACCATCTGGTTTGTCGACGTTCCCGTAGTTACATCACTGAGGCAAGAACTTGTAGAGGAGGCACCTGAACCTGCACATTCTTTTGGCATTACATGCCGAGAAAGCCTCTAGCCACGCGTGCGCCACATGTTCACATGTTCACTCTGTGTTCACGGTTCACCGTTCACACAGCAGCGCCTCCTTGCTCAGAGGAACGCCGATTGAGCCCTTCTGCACGCTCTGGTCAACTGTGTACGCAGAGCCTGTCTCACTGTTCGCTGGAAATCTTCGCTGCAGTGTCACCTTCTTGTGCGGCTCAAACACTGAGAACAACGCGTGAGTTAACCTGAAGTCCAGCATCAGCCTGGCCATGCCAGCTGCGGCTTCTTGGTTGATGTCGAGGAGCGATCGGGACGAAAGCAGTAGCAAGCTCCACTGAGGAAGGACGCGGATACAGAGCCTTATTTCGAACCAAGCATCAGCAACCATGCCGACTTGTCTACCCTGATGCTGTTGGTTGTCCCAGGGGGGCAGTATTGGGCCCGCGACCAGCTGCACGATTAAATGCAGCAAATGGGCAATGATATCAGAATTGCCATAATAACCTGAGCAAAACGCGAAACCTACGCCGACAACTACCTCCATTTGCACAGCTCATATCTACAATATTCTACAATCACCTGACACATCCTTGACAATTGAGACATCAGCCGACGTGCAAGGCTAAGCCTCGGAATCCGACAAGTGGGCTTAAAGAATTGTTTAAAGAGGGCCTGGCACATTACGGAGACAAAACAAACCTGCATCGCGTTCGCCCAGGTAGCAGCTTCAACCGGGACTTGCCCCTCAAGGGGCCTGTTGCAACCATGCCCTCACGACCCTCGGCCATCACTGACAATTCCATGCTATTGGAACGCCGATTGCGCTGCTTCTGCTGATTGAGTCCCATGGCACCTGTTGTGCTGACTGTGCTGATGTCTGTCTGCCCTGTTCCTCATCGCACCCAAAGCACTGTTTGCCGCCCAAGTGCGTCGCCTGTACCGACGACTAAAAGCATCTAAGAGCTTTATGGCTGCCATGCGGTGTTTGGCGCATTGGCGCATTCTTGGTTTTGGAATTTATTTTTGAGGTTTGCTCTCGAATTTTGGCACCAGGTTACTTGCAAATCCGTTGTCGTTCCTCCTCATCCCTGCAAAATCGCATCCCCTTCATTTTTGTATGCAGCAAAGAAAAGCATACTAGCCAGCTTTGGCAAATATGGAGTCAAGCAATATTCAAGAAGGCGATGGAAGATTAACAGCGAAGATTAACAGCGAAGATTTTCAAGGGACGGCACCGTCCCCAACCCCATACATAACATGAAAGAAATCGCATGATGGCTGTCCCACTGAGAACCCGGCCAGAAGAAGACAGAGATGCAAGTCTCGCAGCCTTCCATCGATTTCCATCGAAGGGCCATGCCAGCTTTGAGTCTTCACTCTCTTCTGCTAAAGCCTCGATCTCTGTGACGCACTGGCTCTGATTGACCGCATCGACATCTGCAGTTTTGCCGAAGAGCTCGGCAGCCTGCGTTCGTGCGTAGAGCTCAGGCTCTCAGGCTGTCTCACATTATCCCGTTGGCCATCACGCCTTCAGCACACCCATCTCCAAAGCCCTCAGCAGCATCCCCTCAAGCCTCATACGACGCCATCCGACAACATCCGCTGACCCCATCTGGAAAGCGGGAAATCACAATGGTTCACATATGGCACTGGCTCAGCAGACATGCTGCGCTGAAGGGCTTCCAGCGTTGGATCCTGCAGTGGCGGGCAACTTTGGAACCGAAAAAACTCTCTGTTGCGCTTGGCACGGGCGCGCCTTGAGGCTTGCGCATGGAGAGCCAACCTCGAGCGCAGTCAAAGCTATGTGCTGGGAGCAGAGAAAGCACACGGCCTCATCGACCAACAAACGGTCCACAATGAAGTCTCAACATAGGTCACGGTAGCAGGGCACAAGAGCAATTAACATTCCAAGCATGAAGCGATACTGAATAAAAAGAGAATGCACAAGGAACAAGAAAACTCGTGTATCCTAGGACCTCGGACAAGTAGGCGTGCATCGGGGGATGTCTCTCTCACCGATCGCCTATGGACCTAAAGTCTAGAACGGGAGCCTTCGCAGGAAAGAAGGTGTGGCCCTGAAGTCTAAGAAAGCGAGAGCAGCAACAAGCTCGCCTGGGCAGAGTCGCCAGGAAACGTTGAAGCCATTTGACATCGGACGACCTAAGCTGCAGCAAGTGGTCACCGGTGTCATGCGTTACAGAGCTACCAGGGAGCACCTCCCCACTGGCAACTGAGGATGCATCCAGTACGGACCGTTGATACCCTTGCCCGTTTGGGAACGCTTGAGCCTTGCCTGGCCTGAACGCCAACAACTGGAAGAGGCTGCAGGGGATGTTGGGTGGTGCGCAAGCATCCCATCACTTCTGGCGACCATTTACCACTCACTGTATCTCCTCTGCAGGCAGCTGTGATATGCCATCAAGGCAGAGCTTCAACGATGCCGTACGGCGTCTTGTTGCTGGAACCAGCTGCGATCTCAGCTTGCCCAGGGCAGAATCAGGAAAGGGAAAGTCATGCAGCTGCGAGCCTATTGTAGGTTCGCAGTGGCCTTCAAAGGGCTTATTTCAGTCATGCAGCAGCAAAGCTTGGCTCAGCGGCACTGACGTGCACTGCCAATAAACACAAAAATTTCGCAGCAGAGTCTACTTCTACAAGTGGGCGACATTCATTGAAAACCATGAAGCTTGCAGTGTGTGTTCCCTCAGTGTGTGCGGAGCAAACAGCTCCGAAATGCTGCCCGAGTAGTATCAACGCATGTTGCCCTCACTCTTCGCAGGCATATCCTGGCACTCCAGATTGTGTGACTGCAGATCCGAGTACACAACTGCACGCACAACACGGAACACCGACACCTGCCTGCTCACGCAGCGCAGACCAGCAAACCGCTTCTCGCATGCGGCGGCCATCCTGCATTCTTATCGACAAGCGCCTTATGCTACAGCCTTTGGCTGTGTAAAGACATTGGCATACAAGCCCATGTTTGGAGGTACATTCTGCGGAAGGGCTGTGCTCAACGAAGAGATTTATGACAAAGCCTCGAACTCATACAAACTGAGGCCGGGGCCCCCTGTACCCGTTAAGGAAGGACTTCTTGCATGAGCCTGCCGGTACTGCGTCGGACTGCAAACATGCCAAACTCCTGCACAATCGAGCGAGTGAAACAAACGATGGCAGTTGCAGAGCAGCAGTGCCTGTGAGCTGTGTGGACTGACTTCGTCGAGCCAAAAGGTCAGTACCTCCTGCCAGGTCCACGCTACCGGTATGTTTCCCGTCCCGTCCTGCCAAAGCAGCCAGGTATCCTTGCGTCATGTTACTTACGCATCATGTACTGCGATGATCAGCAATGTGTATGCTGAAATTTGGTGAACGTTGTTGTCTCAACCAACTACACTGATCTCCGGAGACCCGATCTCATTGAAGTCTCCGATTGTCAACCCACCCTTCCTGCACTACCAACGGGCGTGTCCTGGGCCCCGAGCATTCCATGAAACAACCATCATAACATCCGTCCCAACCTCTTTACACATTCGCGGCCTTGCGTTGCGAGATTGTGCTGGAATTCCTGAGATGCCAGCTGAGAGCTGCACGCTTCAGACAGCGAGGCGAGGAACATGCGCCGCCAGCATAATTAATTAGTTGAAAACCTACCACACTGGCGGGCATTTTTTCTGCGTCAAAGCGCAACAGGCGCATAATGAAGACGCACATTCTTCTGAACCAGGAGCCTGTGCTGGGGGTCGCAGCCCAACCCACAAAACGCTGGCTCAACACGATTCAGTCCAACGCGCGGAGATCTGCAGAAGCGCGGGTCCAGCTTCTCTGTGGCGATCTCAACGTCCGACGCCGCCCTGGTCGGTGCCAGCTTCACTGGCACCCAGCGCCGGCATCCGCTCCACCCCGACCCTCGACGATGCTGCGAAGGTCTTGCTGTGGCGGGGGCAAGGGGCTGTTCAAGCCGGACGCGTCCGCACATCTAAGGCGCACGCGACATTTTGCGCTCCAACGTGCGCGCAGGGTCCGTTTAACTCGCACGGGCCAGCGTTTTCGATTCCTCTAGAAGCCTCGTTGCAGGGTCTTGGAGGCCCCTTCCGGCTTCCCACCGAATATCTCCTTTTCGAGTTAGGGCTTGCCAGCAAACATCTCCTTTCGGAGTTCCGTGGTTTCTGCTTGCAGGGTTTAGGGTTGCTGACTTTCAAGCCCTTTTCGGTTTCAGGGTTTTCCACCCAATACGCCCTTTTAGGGTTGCACCCAGCATCTGCTTTTAGGGCTTCGGGCTTCCCACCCAGGTTTGCCACGAGATTCTCACCCTTTAAGGCTTTAAGGCTTACAACCCCTTTCCCATCCAACATCTTTCTTTTGGGGCCAGGGTTTGCCATCCGCTTTTTGGATCTTTTCGGGCTTCATTCTTCCGCCCAACATCTCCAGGATCGAGGCCTGGGGCCCTGCGGCGGACTCGCAAAGAAAGGCAAACCTTCCAGCCCAAAACCGGCACGGGCGCAGGATTCTGGGAGCCCGCGTGCATCCCGCACACAGGCCCATGTGCATGTGCACTGTAGATCCAACCGCCGCGTGCACCTGAACCTGGCGCCAGAGGAGAGCGCCGCGACAGCGACCCGGGCTGGGCGAATGCCGATGACGAAGAGATGCCGGACATGGCATCAGGGCCGAATGCTCCGGCGTTCGCCGCTCAGTGTTCCTACGCACAAGAAGTGGGTTGCGTGACCTGCTCGTGGCACATAGCATTCGCGACAATTGCAGGCACGACGCACGAGCGTGGCCATCGAGACCTGCTTCATCTGACGACGGACCTGTGTTGGGCAGCTGGAAAACTAGCAGCTAGTCTACCCTCGACACGCGGCAAGCCTGCCTGAGCAGACCTTTGCCGCATAGCGTGGTGAGGTGGATCACACCTTGAATATGTGCAGCATGGATTGGCAGGCGATAAGCGCAGAATACCTTTGTTAAAGTCATGCGCGGTCATCGCATCGACATCGCATTGCTTGGCGCAGTGCGGCGGGCACGGCATGATGCCACGAGGAGGTGGTGGTGGCCTGACACAAACTCGCGCCAACACAGAGGCGTCAGCCGAGCAAATTGTGTGGAAAAGTCTACCAAAGGAGCCTTGAAATGGAGGGATGCTGTTTCTGGATGCCTGCAGGCGACGCCATGAAACGAACCTCTTCTCCGACGCCCTCCATCTTGGGCATTCTTTGGCTAGTCTCTGTGAGGCAAACGCAATCTGGACAGAAACATATGCCTGGCAGAGCTGACAGCGACAACTGCGCCGCTCGCGATGCAAGCGGCGTCTCGAGGACGCCTTAAAGACTGCATCGAGGCTTTCTTGCGATCGCGAAACAACCACGGCTTCTTTCATCTGCGAATTACTGAGATGCAGGCTTTCATGCCTTGTCTGGTCAGCAGCGAGTGCATCTGACGCATAGCCATCCACGCGATTTTCAAGCTCTGCCATGCCTCATTTGTAGGCACTGCAGAATCACAGCACGCCACTTCAGTACTGGTAACAGCAACCTCGCCTTCATAAAGAACTGGAAGCGAAGCCGACGGCGACCAAGACTTGGTAACCACCTCGTCCATGGTGCGCACGTGCGCTGTATTGGAAGAGGCAAAAGGCGTTCTTGCACAACTGTATCACAACTGTTACAACATCCCGTCTCGCCTGTTTCCGGTACACTTTGCTTCTTTCCATCGCCTAGACAAGGGCCAGTAGTTGCGTGAAGCAATTAACCGGACAGATGTCTCTGCACGCGGAAACCATGCCGCAAACACGCGTTCAGGGAATGCCCCGATGGACCCCGACTTTCCCGTAACTCCCTAAGCGATTTGACACGCTACCAGGCGCATCGAGACATGCCTTGTGGAGGTGCCACATGCTGGGAAGCAGACCTTGCGGTGGTGCTGCTTTGCCGATCTCACAGCCTCTGCATTCACAACATGGCCAGTAACCACATCTGCGATCTCCTGCTTGCACAACAAGAATCATGATGAGTGGTAGTTACTGGTAGCGGCAGCAGCAGCAGTACTGGTAGCGGCAGCAGCAGCAGCAGCAGCAGCAGCAACAAATACTTAAGCTCTGACCGGCGCCATTGCAGGTGATCTCTGGCTGGCTGGGATGGCCGCAAAGGTGACCAGTTCCGCTGCCTTGCGCCCGGAGCAGCACTAGACTTGGTCATCTGCCTCCAGCTCGAGAGCCCGCAACCGTGCCTCCAAGCTGGCTTGTGACACGTGTGGCTCACCTGAGCATAAGCAATCATGCGGTGCAGAGTAGGCGTCAGGAAGGTTGAGGCAGATGCTGGAGGCGCAAGAAAGCACTTCAGCAACGGCATTGCTGGTCGACCTCAGAACGCATACTCTAACCTCACGGGCCAACAAGCACGGAGACTGGGCATGAAGCTGGAAGCGATGCTCTGCAACAGCTGCGGGAGCAACTGCCTCCGTCCGCAGCCAAGTGGCGACCTAGGTATCTTGTAGCAGCAAATTTTGGCCAACCTACAGGACAAATTGGCAGGGCGGCCGAAGGAAGATGATACCAGGCATGCACCTTGCTCAGGCATCGGAATGTCCGAGAGCTGAATTCCAGCTTGGTTCGAGGATGCGGCTGCCATGTTCTCAGCAGGCTACACTTGCCAAATGTCCCAATAACAAGGCAACCCAGGGTAACCGACAGTAAGCTATGTTCTGCGGCTAGCAACGTCAATTAACCAGCTTCCCTTCATCGTCATTCCATGCAGCACACATGTTTCATACAATGTTGCACAACCACTCACCTCAAGCAAAAAACATTCGGAAGTGCCGGAAGTGAAAAGGCAAAAGCAGCAGCTCCGGAGAGGTTCGATGTTGGCCATGCACATGCCCCATTTAACAACATCATCGTGCGGAGTTCCTTTTTTGGCCGCTCGTGCACCTCTGCTGCTCTTCACGACGACGAGACCAGGCTGCACGAAGCAAGAGCCAGGAACCTGGAGAATAATCCTGCTGTCCACAGGACGGCGGCACAATGACATCTAAGTCTACTGCTCCGGCCAGTGTCTCAGTTATGTCCAGGTTGGACGAGGTCCGAGATAGCTGCGTTAACAAGCCCCACAAGCTCTCATGCATATCTTTGCACAAGATGCACACCACGCGCTGTGGTGACCAAATCGCTTAGCTCATTCACCTGGCCAGCGACCCTACAAGTGTCTCAAGAGGTCAAGCTGGGACGCGCTAGATTTTCACAGTTCACAGTATTCACAGTGTCCCACCGAATGATCCAGATATTTCCACACCTCGAGCGCCAGCACAACATCTTCCAAGGTCGGATCTCCAAGGCTGCCTTTGGATATCCAGCCTTGTGTCCAAGGATGCATGATGTGTCATGATGTGTCCAAAGGCATTCGTTTTGCTCTCACATGATCAGATATGCTGCACAGATCTGCGGAAAGCACATCATGGCACATCTGAGTTCTGCGCCCAGGTCTCCCGCCATTTGTCCAGGCTGCAGGGCGGACTTGCACTCCGAATGTTTGCGAGCCATTGCTGGAAACCTCGATTACACACGAAGCTGTGTAGAACATGCTTATTCTTAACCTTGGCCGCGTACTGGCTGGCATCCTTCGTCAGGCTTTCCTGCAGCTCGAATACTCTCATGTGACTATGTGCTCCTTCCATCTCCCTCCATGCTCAGCAACAAGGCATGCCCCGCCTTCAGTCTCATCAGCTCACGTTCGGCCTGGCAGGGCACACCATGCACAGCCGCGCCTGGCTTCCAAGACAATGGTGTGCTTTTTCGACCGGAGGCAAGTCAAGCCACCATCGTGTCGCAAAGTGAGCAAAATCTGGCGGTGCTGCATGGCCTGCGGACCTCACATTGTGCGGCGTCACCAGGTGGCCCGAACTTCTGAGCGACTGGCGCATTGGCACAGCTACCTTCTGAAAGTCGAAGAGCTCGTCCACTTGACCGTGTCCATGCAGAATGTTTGGCTTGGACCTGGTTGGGGCAGCTTGGCCCGAGTGGCGCGATTCGAGGTAATACCCAGCTGACCAAGACATGGCTGCTTGGAACACTTCTGGATTATTTACAGCTAGACTGATCGCGTAAGAGCCACCATCTGAAAAACCCATGACTGCAATCCGTCCAGAATCAATGTAGTAATCACGGTTGAGGCAGTCCAGGATGTAGCTGATGAAGGCGGCGTCTGCGGATGCCTGCCCTGTTGTAGCTGTTTGTCTCAAATCCCAGGTGCGGTCAATCGACATGGGGATGGCTATGAGTATCTTGTTGCGCGATGACATCTTCGAGAATTGCAATACAGATGACTCAACACTTGCCTTAGTGCGTCCAGCTCCGTGTAGCACGAAAAGTAGTGGCAGTGACCCGGCGGTCTTCTTCAGCAACTTTGGTGTCAGCACATGCGCCGCATGCCCCTGATGCTGAATCCTGTGGGGCTTTGGCAGAGCCTTTGGCTGAGCGAGGGCTTGCAACGCTCGCTGCAGCAGAGCCGTCTTGTCCACAAAAGCATCACTGGACCAGCCGAAGTGGCGAATCAGCCTTCGTAGAACTTGTGTTGGTGCTGCCGTTGCCTGTGCCTGACTTTGCGGAAGCAGGCTAAGCTTCAGTCCCGAATTTCTTGAATTGCCAGAAGCCGGCGTGCGCTTTTTGAAAGACTTGATGTGCTTGCCGGATTTGTGGCTCGGCGGCTGAGTGCTTTTTGCATCGAGCTTTGGTGCTCGCCCGTTAGTCCAGTTCTGCTGCAAGCATCCACCATGTGCCTTCTTTGCGATGGCTTCGCGAGCGCGGTCAATAAGGTCCGACTTCTCGATGCAGTCATTCACGCGCAAGCCACAAGAAATAATCAATCTGCGGAGATCAGCTACTGATGTGCTCAAAAGAACATCTTCCTGGTGTCCCGATGGGCTTTCGGGTGCACACTTTGGAGCTGAGCTTGCGCTCGCAAGTAGTACGGGCCATACAGCATATGCCAGCAGCATGCCAAAAGGACGGCGCGCAGAAATTCTGACAATACATGGCCATTTTCCCGAAGGCTTCCTGCTTTGGGTAGAAACAGGTAACAAGAGGTGCTGAAGGGGGTGCACGCAATGACAAAAGCACATTCGGTTGACTGCACACAGCGCCACATCAGAAACCATGCCTGCGCGAGAGGGCGAGTGACGGGACCTTGCTACAGACCGCGCGAAAACTAATTCCAGCAAGCCTGCATTCAGCACAAGCACCAGAGACTTTCTTGCATCTTCACGTCTCCTAACCTACATGCCCCATGGTGCCTTTGACCCGGGCAGCACATGATTCATCCCGATTCACTTTCGGTGCCTTCCCTCATGGTCGACGGACCTTCGCTCAACAGCCACTATAAACCAAAGAACTCCTTCAGCTTGCTTGCCCATCCCATAAGACGTGGCCACAAAGTCGGCAACGGTGTGCCTAGGCGTTAGCAGGTACAGATCCATGCTCAAGCAGCGAAACTTGATCCAAGCCGCTTGGGATCAAGCTCCAACCTTGCAAGGGCAGCTCGCAAAAACCCTTCCGAAATGCCGGCCGCAACTTCCGCTTTTCCTCGAGGCCCTGGCCAGATCCTTCCCATTCGGGACACAAGACGCCCTGAGAGGCAGCTCACATCTGAGATCATTGCCGGTGACCTTGCCCTTGCCTTCAACTCCTCCGGCCCTAAGGGACAGCGCAGCTTTCCCGTGCCGAAGACTCCAGATTCAAGATCCCAATCCGGGTAGAAGGCCTGAGCTCTACATGCAGACATGCGCCCGAACACTCCAAACGCCGAGCTTGCCGCATGGTCATGCCAATTCCAGAAAAACCTTTGCCAGCCGGCGATATCCAGCATGTACTCTTTGGCATCTACGAATCTTGCATTATCTTACCGTTGCCAAGTCCCTTGCCATCCATGAGTCGAGTGGTTGTAGGCTGCCACCTTGTCATCTTGCAAGGTCAGCGAATACCATGCGGTTTCTTGGGCTGCCACAGCTATGTGCCATGTTTGACAGCCTGTCCGCCTGCTTGTTTGCAAAGTCTGCCTTCTCCTCATCAGAGAAATGCCCAGGCCTCCAGCATAGGTACCCACCATCGCTCCAAGATTTTGCCGACCGGGTAGTGACACAAGTGACACCAGTACTGGCTGAGAAGGACCTTGACAGGCTCCACTCGCCAACCACAGAGCCAGGCAGCAGCTTCAGCTCTCTGGCATGTTCCGCGACGACCTCAAAGCTACATGTTGCAGCCCAAACTGTTCTCCATAAACTGTGAAGTTGGCTTCACATCCATGCCTCCACATGGCGGTAGTGCGGCAAGAGCTTCCAGATCGCAGAGAAATCGTGGTAGTAGTGGATGTCAAACCTGAAAAAGCGTGTCGTTCTTCCAGCAGGCTTCGAAAAGCACAAAATCCGCAAGTAAAGCCAGTCCAGGTCAGGCCGAGCCACGCAACGTTATCAAATCTGAGACAATTTCCTCGGGAATGCCAACAGCTCATCATCTGCTTCAAACGCCAATGGGTGAAAATTGGCAGCCTGAGGCAAGTGAGCATCTTGCAAGCCGCAGGAAAACATTTCACGAAAACATAACAAAGAAATCATGCTTGAGAACCCCAAGTCATGCCCTGCTACCTGAAGCCTTACGTTGCCAAAGGAAAGTCAAACGAGGCCGATGGCTCTTGCACAGGCTATAACTCCGGTGCACTCGAGCTGGCTCTTCTGCAGCCATGTCGCACTATTGCAACCTTGTCTGGCCCCATGCCACTTGATCGAACTGCCTGCTTGCAAGTTCAACAAGTCTGTCTGCTAGCAACTTCAACAAAGTGGGCCTTATCGCTCGCTGAAGTCCAGCCTCAATGGCGCGCTCGTAAAAATCGCAAAGCCTGGCAATATGAAGCACGCATGGTCCTATGGATGCCAAGCACCTGATTAGCATCTGCCTGTCGACAGGAATGTTCTCGGAAGGCTCATTGCACACCTAGCACACATGTGTGCCAGACTGCGCAGGGCACAGTAGCACAATGCAGCAGCGAGACGGCCTGTATTCCGGTCACGCAGGACTTGTCACCATATCGTGCTGCAAGAAGGCGCAGAACCTCTACAGCCTGCAGAAATTCAGCGTGCAGCACTGATGAAGCACAGGTGCCGCTGGCATGCTTTTGAAGAAGTGGGCTGTGAAGCTGTGGCAGTACTTGCTCAGCATTGCAGTCCCTCTTGCATATCCCTGCCGGAATCGCAAAGCACATGTCCACAAGGGTCGGAGTTCATGTAGAAACCTTTTCTGGATGGGCTTCCTCTGTCAGGTGCTCTTGTTTTGATTGTCTCCACCAGGACTCCAGGCCCTGAAATCATGTGGAAGGGGGGCTTGATAGCCAGGGGTTGGGCGGAAGGCAATACAGATTCAATACAGGCACCCCCCCTTTTGGTTGAGGATACTCCCGGCCGTCACGGTGTGGGTGGTTTCTTCGCCGAGAAGCGAAACTCGGCTGAAGGCGTCTCTCAGCCACATCGATGATGCTGTAAGGGAAAACAAGAAGGCTGGCGATCCAGATGGTGGTTCTCTGTGGTGGCTAGCATCTCCCCTACTGTACTTCCCACGCTTGTTGCTTGATGCTCTTCAGGAATCTGGTTTACCCAGATGCCCTGATTGATTGATTGCCTGTGGGCGCGAACGCCCTTGCGTCCAGATGTCGTTTCATGTCGTTACACAGTAACTCACACGCGAGCCCAAGGCGAGCTGAAGGGTACCCATTCACGTGTGCTCATGTCTACTCAGTCTGCTCTACCTGGCGGCTTATGTACAAGCCTCATCCTGGCGCCAATCTTCCCAAGTCCACAAGGAAGACTCTCTTCCACATGGTCTGCTTCCACTTTCGCCTCCTGGATTGCCATGCAAATCCTTACGGCAGGATGTAGATCTGGATGCGTTTTTTGTGGAATGCGTCCAACCAAGTCATAAGTCCCGACATCTGAGGGGAAGTCAAGGAGAACTTGCAGACCTTGCGCTTCGGCCATCTGGACGCAACCATCTAAGATCTCCAGGCCTCAGATTTGGGTACAACCGGCGCAAAAGTCCCGAAGTTTGGCAGGCTACTCGGATTGTCAAGTATTGCGATGCAGGTGGAAGCAGCTGATCAAGCCTTGGAACGTGGCAGGGCCCTTCGTAGGGTTCTCCGTCGCCTGCACGCTGATAAACATCAGACGCGAGCAAGATCGCAAGAGGTCCGGGGTGAGTTTTTCTGGACCCGCATCGCTTGAAACTCCCACTTGCCTGGCCCTTGTACTACCCAGTGGCCAAAAGGGATGCGTATTGCATTCAAACCCGTTTCTGCGATGTCGGCAAAGGTCTTTTCCTGGGCAAGAGACATGTACCATGCAAGGCTGCAGGGCAGCAGGCTCCTCTGCAGACAGTACCACTCATGATCACTACTGACCATATTGCACATTTGCTACGTCAAACAGCATCATGAAGCTTGGAGATGCGAAGAGGCAAGCATGGTAGTGTTCCACTCTCGCAAAAAAAAGACTCCAATCGAACCCAGAGACCCCCCCCCGCAACTCAGCGAGGGACAACTCATTTTTGAAAGCGGATAGAGCTAGAACTCTGCCCGGACAAAAGGCAAGCGGGATGCGTCGGAAGACCATGCCTGGAGAGTCTGTAGTCGGAAAGCTTAAAGCAATCGAGATATTACACAAACCTGCCAAAAAAACTCGCCTCGCCGAAGGCATCTGAGATTCCTGTGAAAACATGCCAAAAATCAACTCTTTTCTCCACCCCTTATTCCATCCGTTCCCCTTCCCAGCAACAACATGCTAAATAGACAAACCTTCAACGTCAGGCCGGACCGAGGCAATCGGCGCACAACATTTGCATTTTCAAATTGTTTGCCAAGTTCAACGGAAACGATCCGACAACTAGCCACAAAAAAAAAGACAAACAAAAGAACAAATGATACACACGAAGCCCATAAGCACGGAGCCCTCGCTTTCTCTCTCCCTCGCTCTATCGTAAAATCTCCGTGGCAACATATGGCAACCAAAGTGCTGTGTAGTGCTGCAACCGGTGCCTCTGAAAGAGCTCACTCCTCAAATTTGTTGCAAAGGGAGCTTGGAAGCACGTGGCAAGCTTAGATCACAGGCAGGATCAAGCATGGCTCCGAAGCTGATCTCCACCGGCTGCTTGCAGAGCAGCACAGACGGAGTACTCATCGCCCAGGCCGGGAGGATTTTCCCTCGTGCCTGATGCGACGACGTTCTCGTGCTCCTTCTCAAGTCAGCACGGTGCCTTGGCCTGTGTGCTGAAGCCGAAAGCTAAACCTCAACAGTCCTGCAAGGGGCCACCAGAAATCTCCAAGATTTTGGCCTGCACTCCGATCGACTCGGCCAAACTCAGGCAGCATGAAGACATCACAATCGAAACGCACTGGTTGACTCAGTCTGCTGCCTGGCAAACATCAAAAAAAGGCGATGCAGGTCCAGGCTCTAGTAGTAGCAAACCTGGCCCGGCTGCGGTCTCTATGACATTCTGTAACTGGGAGAAAGAGTCAAAACTTGGCGGTGGCCACCACCCAAATTGACTCCCCGCCAGGCTGGAAAGCTCCAGTGAGATTCATGGAACGATTGCGCGGCGCTCGACAAACAGCGAACTGCTTGTGAAGCGTCCGCGTTCGACACATGCCACCAATAGAAGCCCAACCTTGCAGTTCTAACTGCCACAGCTACAATCTCAAATTTGAATGATGCCGTGGAGCTGGGTGGCCATGCGATGCAGGGATGTATCCTTCTCCTTTACCTTGAGCTGAGCGCTTCAGCCACGAGCTTCGGACACATTAGCCTACATGTGCCGGAGCAGCAAAAAGAATCTGCAAAACCCTGCCAGCTCTCTGGCAAGTCGCGGCAATGGCCTGGCCAGTCCGCGCCACCTCTGATGCAATGGAAGCCAGCTCCTGCACAGGAAGTCATCGTAGCTCCACGATGTTCCACGTTATGTAGTATTGAGCCATGGCCCCCAGCCTCGAGCCTTTGCGCCCAATCCGGCCACCTCTCTTCTGCAACGCTGTTCGCAGATTCAACAGCGGCTTCCCTCGTAGAGGACCATTCCTGTCGAATCATGCATGCAAGGGCACCTACGCACCGAATCGTGGCTCAACTCACGCAAGCTCAAACTCAACATCATGGAACAGGGATGACGAAGGATGACGAAGGATGACGAAGGATCGTGTGCATCCCAGCCCCTCACAGCCCACCACCGGGAACGACAGCGCGGGCACCTGTGGGATGTCACGGTGCAAGCAGAAGTCCTCCCAATGCGAGGCCGCGACGCCTCAGCGGTGGAGCTCTGAGGGCAGCGAGCATAGACCCGAAACACCAGCGAAAATAGTGGCAAAAACTATGTACCGGTATCAGTCGGCTTCAGCGAAATCGGTAATTGGCCCATCACAATTCGGACGGACCAGGCGAAGTTTCACGGTCCAGCAGAGACTGTCGCTTCATCTTCTCAACACGGGCTTGTCCAATCAGGCCCTCTGGAAAAATGACTTGATATGACGGGAAACGTCGACTGTTCCCTCCAGACCGCTTGATTGAACCGCGCACAACAGCTGCACAAGGATCACGCAGGTAGCGATTCTCGACAGTGTGCTCAGTGAAGTCGAGAAGCCGTGTGCGGTCATGCGATGTCATACATTTTGACGCACTTGTCGCATTCAAGGGGAACTGAGGTCCAAGCCAAGAAGCCAAGAGCCCACCCTTGGTGCCCTTACCTCTTTGGACCTTTTTGCCTGTGTCCCTCCACGCCCAAGCCCTAAGTACAGCAGCTTCTGATGCTGCTGGGTTATCTTGAGAAATCGTGCAAGCATGTGCAAACTTCCGCATGCCGGACAGCGCGCGGATGACTATACGTAGAGTAGACTCTGAGTATCTCTGAGTAGATCACGAACGAAGCCGAAAACTGAGGATGCTGAGGAGTGGTCGAGAGGAAGCCTCGGCTGCCTCACGCGCTGCAGACCACACAATCCGACGGCATCCGCAAGCCAACTCGTAGGGGACCTCAGTACATGTCAGTACTGCAACGTTGCAACGGGGTTGGGGCCATGTCTCGCTCCGGAGCGTTTGTAGACTTGTGTAGGACAGCGAGTGTGGACGTTGAACCTGACCATGGCGTCAGCCTGTTCTTCTCTAGCACAAGCCATGCTTAGGATTGTCCCACACTGTCATATTTTTCGCAGGATGGGCAACCGAACCTTCGCCCCAACCGGCTTTGCACACATACATGCCCTTGCCAAGAAGCCCAAGAACAACACGAATCGCACGCCCAGTTTTGCTGATTCCATCCAAGCCACAACGTCTGCATTTCTGTCGCCGAAGCCATGAGCTGAGACGCAGATGGACATCCAAAGTACCCAATGCTGCCTGAATGTGTTCCGCCTTTGCCCCACGTTCCCTACAAGCTTAGATCATCCTATGCACTGCTCCCCACACTAAGGGCTTCACGAGGTTTGTACCGAAATTCTAAGAGGTTCGGACGTAAGAAGAAAGCAGACTCAAATCACAGCCGATCAGTCTCATCGGAAGCTGCCCAGTCCAGAGCCTCAGCCCCCGACCCTTGGACCGCAAATGGGCCTGCGCATGGCGCTCGAGTCTTTACCTGAAACCTGTATGCACCTTGAGAGCCTGCTTAGCCATGATTCTGCTGTTTTCAAGGGGTGGCTTTGAGAAATGTGGCTAGCGGCTAGCGGCTAGGGGCTAGTGCATGTGCTTCTTCGGCTTTGCCACCTATCCGACCTTGGGACGCATCCGCATAACACAGAATCATTTCCGCAATGGCGAGCATTCGCCAGCCTGTGGATCCATCTTTTGCTTCAGATCCTTGTGCTTGCCAGGGGCCAATGCTGCAGGAAAAGACAGTGCTGAAATGTGTTCCCCAACAGAACACGGAGCTTCCTTGTGCTTGAGCAAGATGTGTCTGCATCTGACCTCCAGCATGGAGCTCTTGCACTTGCATATCCAAACTTACACATCTTCACTGCGTCCTGGCCTTGTCACCCCCCTCCTTCTTGGCCTTCTTTGCGGCTGGCTCCACGTACCCTGACCCGACCTGGCCCGTCTTCATTCACGACGCCTACACCTGTCACCGATCTACGCCTCGAACACGCCCACGATGCAACAGCCAAAACGCTGTGGCCCAGTGATGCGCTGCCTCAGGCCATGAAACGTTGCCGCAAGCAGTGCCTCCTCAAGTTCAGCTCGCAAGGATCGCGCGCAGCGTTCTTGGCTGCTGCATCGGCAGCTACCAACAGCGACGCAGCCTCTCATTCATCTCATTCCGAGTGTGAGGCAGGCGCGCAATTGTTGTCATGGTCAAACAATGTCAGACACAAAGAACATACTGCCTTGGGCTGCCCTGAAAAGCCGCGGATTCGTTCGATAACCTGGCCAACAATCTTCCAATGTCCACCAGAGGATTTGGCTCCACCGAACTCAAAAACTTAGCTCGTTAAGAAACCATAGCTGCCATAGCTCTCACCTGTGCTCCGCAAAGCTCTACAAAGCAGCCTCCTGATCGCTCAGGGAAGTTGCGCCCGAGCCTTTCAGAGTCCCATTGGCCCTCTCTTGCTCTGCATCTCTATGACATCTATAACTGTCGAGAGCCTATCACCATGCAAGACCTTGCCATGAAGCAGCTATAGAAAAGGACCTGCTGCATATTGAGGATATTGACATTGAGCAACTACTTCTTCCTCCATTCTACTCAGCGAACAGGCCCCCCTCACATGCTCTCTCTCTCTCTCTCTGCACGCTTGGCCCCCCCGAAGGGGAGCTGCCCCAATCTCTCTCTCGCTCTCTCTGTCTGTCTCTCCCTCTCTCTCTCTCTCTCTCTCTCCTGCACGCATGGCCCCCCCCGAAGGAGAGGCCGCCCCTAGGGGCGCGCGATGTCCAAGGTCTCGTGATCCCCATCTTGTTGACGGGGCAAAGAAGAAGCTGAACGGCCGAAAGGGTAAAAACATGCACCTGGGGGACGCTGTTGGTTTTTCCCCCCAGGGTGCCTATCTTGGTGTTGGATCGAAAGCGCCGCCCTCGAATTGAACCCTTGGCCATGGTTAAAAGTAAGAAAGGTCGTTGTTTGTCCACGGTGCCTAACACAACCCCCTGCAGTGCGGCAGCGGGTCGGAAAAGAATGTGGTTCCCCCTTTGCAGTTTGGCAATGGGGTTACGGTAAGTGTGTTTCCTATCTCAAGTTACACTGTTGCATGTTGGAAGGCTTTGCCCCCCTAGGTCACTTATCCCTTGCCCATCAGTTGTGGAGGTTGTTGTTGTAGTCCCATCTTAGTCGACGTTGGAGTTTGCCAGGCGTGCCACCTTCTCCCCCAGCTTTTCTTGACGTCTGCCCTGGTCGCCCCCGGTCTTCTTCTTGCGTGGAAGAGGTGGTCTGTCATGTGCTGGGGGTCTCGACGGGGCCGATGGTGTTGCATATGGTCCCCTTCTTGGTGTCCTTGAGCGGCGGGTTTTTGGTGCAGCCACAAGCTTGGCTGTCATCTTCTCCCCCGTTTTTGCTTGGGGCTGGTAGGAGGCCGATGGTCTTTCACATGGTCCTCTGTTGTCTCGCCCCCCATCTCGTGAAGTCGCCCTTGTAGGTGTTGATGTTCCCTTTGCTCCTTTTTTGGCTTGGGGGTTTGTTGAGGCCGATGGTCTTTCACATGGTCCTCTGCTGTCTTGCCCCCTTGCCTGCGAAGCGGTCCTTGTGGGTTTTGCTCCAGCTGGGAAATCTCGTCTTTGTCGTTGTTGGTGATGGAGCGTTTCCCACGTGGTGGTCGAAGGGACAATGTGGTGTAGTGCCGTGGTTCGCAATCTTTTCCAGGGCGATGTGGAGGTTGTCTGTGGCATCGCGGGTCGTAGTCCAGGTCGGCTGGTTTGTGGGGCTCCCCCCACTTCGGCCTTGTTCTCCTCCATGTCTACCTGGACTTCTTCATATTCTTCTTCGCCTTCGTCTTCTTTGTTTTGGCCTTCATGTTTTCCCCCCTCTTCAGCTCTGTCTTGGCCTTGTCGTGGTCCTGGCGGTGGTAGTTCTGGAGTTCTCCTTACATGGCCCCGGGGTCTCCTCCGCTTTGACTTGCTGTAGGTGGTGTTTGGTGTCCCCCGCGGCCGATGGTATTTCACATGGCCGGGCTTGGACTCTGCCATCTTCTTCTTCCGTGTCCTCCCCCCAGTCGGCCTTGTCCTTCTCGTCATCACTGTCCTTCTCCTTTTTGACTTTTGCGTGCTTGCCCCCTGTTTCGCCCCGGTGGCGAAGTGGGTTGCCTCCCCCGCTCGGGCACTGGTGGCGTGGTGATCTCCCCGACATGCGGCGGCACGTAGATCACCCCCAACTGTGGCATAAGCACATTGACACTGGCCTGGAACCACTGGGTAGTTTGCTGGATGTTCGCCCTCTGGAGCTGCTCTTCGATGCGGGCGGCGGTGTCGGGAGTATATGTCGTTGCCACCCAGCGGATGAGCTCCCTCATATGGTGTAGGGCCTCCCCCAATAGCCGTTGCGCCTCGTCCGGAACGGGCACGGTGGGGGGCATCCCCCCTTTCGGTGTTGCCATGGCAAGGATCTGTTGTTACAGGGTGCTGGGTGGGGAAAAGCGATGAGGTGGGTTTGGGACATGGAAGCAGTGAAGGTCCTGGAGAAGAATGTTGAGTATGTCCGGAAAGTTGAGTTTGGGAAGTTAGTCTATGTGGTGTTCAGCGCCTGCCTGGTCCCCCCACTCGCTCTTTTTAGGGCAGCCCCCTGAAAGTCCAAGCACGACTGACACGCATTCGCCCCCGAACTGAAACCACAAGTGGGTGTTAGGGTGAGCGGAGTGAGCTTCCCAGGTTTGAGCCAGCGGCGCGGCTGACTCAAGCCTGATCAGGGGGGCGGGTTCCCCTCACAGACTTGAGCCAAAATGGCTTGAGCCAAAATGGCTACGGTCTCTCCCTCTCTCTCTCTCTCTCTCTGCCGTGCCATCCAAAATATTGGATCAAGAATTTGTTGATTGAAAAAAGCTTGCAATCGAACGAATGGTTCTTACTTTAGCCTACCCCTTTCTGACTCGCATTTGGAATGCACAATCACCACTGAATCACAGCTCGAAGAAGCCAAGGGGTCTGCTAAGCAGCACCAGGTGGTGCCTCTGCGACGGGCGCATCTCTCTCGGTTTAGTCGGGTGAGAGATCCATACACAACAGGGGTTCCGGCGAACCGAGCGTCTCGAGCTGGACGACGTCTATCTGCGGAAGCACGTGACGTGAGTGTTGAACTTGTGGCAAACCCTATGCCAGGCACATCCCGGCCTGTGGCTCCGACGAAACAACTTTTCTAGGCAGCTTCAAGTCTCTCAGGCCAAGTGCACGAGTGACCTGGCTGCAACTAGCAGTGATGAAGCGCATCACACCGAACGCTAGTGTAGGTTGGCTTGGCTGACACGAAAGCAAACATGAAAATGCTGACACGGTTAAACCATGTACCGTGCCTGAACGGGCTTGAGGGAAGAGAAACCTGAATGGACTGACCAAGCAATGAACAAATCAGTAGCTGATGCACACGTCCAGATGAGTGTCCAGCTGCTGCCTCCCTTGCTCGCTGTTAGAGTTGCAGGCTCCTCAGCAGGTCTGATTTTGCACTGAATGCACTGAATGCACTGAATGCACCGAATGCAACATGCAAGTGCTGCACTGAGATCAGCTTGCCGCGTCTGCACAACCCGAGACTGAATTTTTTTTTACGAGAAAAAATTCTCTAAAGTGGTGTTGTTGTGTGTTGTGGAGTTACGCCTTTGCGTGGTGGCCGGCGGGGCTGCATTATGCCCCCACTTCGTGAAAAAAGTGTGAAGGGGAACATAAACGGCCGCGTATGTAATTGGCAGGTGTCTGGGGCCTGGGCCACCACCAATCCCGCATGCGCAGGTGCACCCGTGTCAGCACACAGAAAGGCGTGCTTTTGGCACCCAATTGCCGAAGCGACTTCTGCCGTTCCTACAACTGCTGCGTCTTTTGCAGCCTCACATGTTCAATACATTTTGCACCAACATGATGTTTGCAATCGTTTGTCTCAACATGGCCACGCACAGAAAACTGCACGCAATGTCTTCGCACAGACACGGTACGTATGTGTGCGGCCCCTGCTGAGCTTCCCATGTGCACGTGCTTTTGAATGCGAAACAGTGCAACATACACAGGTATAGAACGCGCACAAAGATTCCACCCAACTATGAGTGCAGAAACACGTGAACAGAAAGATTAAAATTGCACATGCCTAGGCTTGAAACATTGCAAATGTTTAAAGGTTGCATCCCCGCAGCCCCCAGGAGAAAAACAACTTTAGCTGCAAAATATTGCGACCGAGCACAAACTTCATCCTTAATACAGACCAGACCAGACCAGCCATGAACATGCCAAACTAACTCGAAACGTTCTGCTCGTCTGAGCTTTTCCCAAGAGCTCATGGTGCCAATGGTCGCATTCAAATGACGAGGTCCCATGGCCGTGATTAGCAATGCAAGCTGAGTGCGTTCCGCCCCGATCCACGTGTGCCCTTAAAGCGCAAAAGCCTGTTGAGGACAAGGAAGACCGATGGCAACAAAAGGCGATCCAAGCTCAGCGCTGCTATCGCCTCAGCTGCCTCCTCTATCATTCGCACTGCTGCCGCCTGCATTGGGGAAGAAGTGACTCTTCTATCCTTTCTGCAACGGACACATGCCCAAGCAACTGGTTCCAAGCACATCTATCCAGAGTCCTGGTCGGGATGTCCGTAGTTGCCATCGGTCAACATGCCAAGCTTCATGATGGTTTCTCTCAACTCCTCAGCAGTGGCACAATGCGAACGCGCTTTGAGACTTGCATCTTGCTGCCGGGTGCAAGACCCGGCCCTGCCGTCCAGCCTGCACAGGGGATTAGGAAATGCACTGTATCCGGGTCTGTCCGTGTCTCTGTCCGTGTCTCTGTCCGTGTCTCTGCCGACATCGAAGAGTCTGCTCAGAATCACCAAGCGAAATCCGGGGAAGCTCGAAGCCCACAATGTTTATTTGTGCAGCACCCGTGCTGCTGATACCAATAACTTCATGTCTTCCAGCTGCTCCGCCATGCATCATTGAACACCGTTGCAGTTAGCGGACCAGTAAACAATGTCAAGAACAGCGTACCGGACAAATTCAACCATCTTCGACCTGCGTGCCGCTGAACCAGCACGTGGAACAAACAAATGGACGCCGGCACAAGGTACCGGACAAATAAACAAATTGCGAAATTCGCGATGTTCAATAGGGGTCATCATGGTCATCTGTGGGTGCGCCATGTAAAGTAATTATTCGACATCTTACGAAACTACGGCCAGCCTCCTCAAGACTGCAATCTTCAGGGACGTTGAGAACGCCAAGCGCTGTGGCCTGAAGCACACGGATGCATGCATGTGCGCTTTTTTGGGAAGTCATCTTATGCGCTATGGGCTGGCTTCTAAGATTCTGTGGCTTCAGAATTTTCAGAGCATGTCAGTCAGATTTGGCGCCAGAAGCGGTTCTCGTAGCAGTTATCATGACTGGGCGCACCAAGTCTTGCTCTTTCAGCAGGTTGTGAAACAACTGTAAATACTAGCGCGAGGAGCAAGCAGCAACCAAGGCAGAACGAATGTGTCTCTATTCTGAAGTCGACAACTAACGGAATGGCTTCCGCCAGCAAAACGGCAGCCGTCGTTCGGAGCTGGTTGGTGTGACTTGATTGGCATGCGACAAGTGCAAGCAACAACCTGAACATGCCTGGACAACCTCACGCAAACATCGGTTAGAAATGCAAATTTATTGGCACAATGAATCACCTGCTATGAATCTGTAGAGCGCCTTCAGCCATCATGATGTTGCATTCACTGATTTTGATTTTGTATAAGCCGTTGGCGCGCGACATGGAGGCTCCGCTGGACCCAGCCTGACAGCTCAAGCTTGCTGCCGTCTACCCACGGTCCCAGTACACATTTGCCCCTGTTGCCTAAGCATCGGACAGCATGGAGAATGGAACGGAGGCATTCTGTTGCCTCCATATCTGTTTCACAGAAGGCCTCAGAATTGCATTCACCACCCACAGAGCAAATAGGAAGGAGGCGGCTTGGCCACATGCTTCAACAACCGCCGCTGCTTTCTCTACTTTCTCGAAGGCTGCTTTGGCTCTCGCCTCTGCTTTCAGATGCTTTATTGCAGTATTGACAGGTCTGGCAAGCTCCTGCCTTCAATTCGTCAGGGGCCTTGTCCGGATGCACCTCAAAACAAGCACTGAGTCCTAGGGACCCTTGCACAGACACGTGCACATGGCGGAGGCTCTCTGAAATTTCGTCTGCTAACCTGTAATCTCACTCTGTTGCCATGCAGTGGTGGCCAGTAGGAAGGCAACAGCTTTGGCTTGATTTGGTTTGACGCACTGTGGATACCCAAAGTAATCTAAAGTCCTCCATAGCGCAACCCTGCCTCACAAACAGATCACACCACCTCAAATTCACCACAAGCCCAGTAATCATTCCTGTAAGCGAATGCCGCCACCAAGGACAGCAGAAGCACTGGCCAAAGCACCTTCCCCGCTTCCCCTCCCCTAAAAACTTGTGAGTTGCCCTGCAATCTCCACATGTTTCCACTATTTCCGCCTCACCATCACTCCTTCCGCTACCCCAGTTGCATGAAGTTGCACGCGCAAGCGGAAATCTACAACAGCTTCAGCGCTCGAAACTTGCAAAAGGATGCAGAATGCTGCAGACATGTGCACCTTTAGGGCCAACTTCTTGTAGCAAGAACGGGCTGCCTTGCCATCTATCTTGTCCTCCACGCAAGCAGGTGTGGCGTTCGAACTCCGAGGGCATGCCGCCATATGCCGCTGATTCGCCTCGGGTCCGAGACCCAAAGTAGCGAAGCAGTCTGATGTCCGATCCAGGACTCTCCCCACCTGGCCAGTTTGTTTTTTCAGAGGCTCAGTGTCACGTTGTAGCAGCTTGTAGCACAGCCCACGCCAAGATGTGCCAAGATGTGCCAGCTGGACTTCCTCTTCTGCAGTGGCATCGTCAATGACTTGCCAGTCTCTTGACCTTTCTGCCTTTCGGACCTGGGCATGCTAGCAATATGTTAGCTGCCGTTAGCCAGGAGCGTTGACAACTTGGCCCAGTCTCTCCGGAGCACACCACAGAAGGCCACAGAAGGCCGAGCTGCCGGCAAAAGGGGCACCAACGACTCCTTTGCCCTTTTCTTCTCCGATGATCTCCGCCCCAAGCGCCTTCTTAGCACCGTACAGAACAGCGCACATTGCAACAGCTAGAGCAGCTAGAGTTGTTGTAAAACTGGCTGTCAGCAAGGCCTTGCTACGAAGTTGCTCTTCTGCCGAAGATGCTACGTGTCTTCCATCCAGAGACCGCCACCGGCCGTCCGGAGAAGCAACCTGCAAGTGTACTTGGCATTGGCACTGACTTGCGCAGAAGAACCACGTGTTCGTCGAGCGTCTGACCAAGGCATGAGTCCCACCCAAACTTGCCACCTGCCACCAAAATGAAAAACCATGCCAACTTATCCAACTTCGTCACACTGCATGAAAATGCAAATGAAATATGAGTCAGGAACAACAAGGCGATCCCCCAGCAGCAGGGCCTTAGAAGCTGCTGCAATGCTCCAAATGTCCAAATGAATGCTCTCGGTGACAAACTGCATGAGTCGAGGGCTACCGCGATGGAAACACCTTCCCAGCAGCACCCTGCCTGTTGCACAAGCTGGACCTTAGGCCACGGTCAGATCGGTCAGGTGCTGGCATGGCCAAAACATGCCAAAACCCAGGGAGTGGCATCTAGCTCTGCAAGAATCGACCGAAGGAGGCCCCTGGGTCAAAGCACGGGCTTGCAAAGGTCTGAAAGTGAATCTTTCACGCTTTCACCTTTTAATCGGCCTCAGGTCCGCATCATGCCAGTAGGTGATCGATGCCTACAAGCACCACACACAAACGCGTTCGAGACAAGCAACTGCAGCCTGCAGTTAACAGCTCAGAATGAAAGTGTAGGCTCCATGCACTGAGTTGTGGCAAGAGCTTGGTGTGAAAATGCTTCGAGCACCATTCCACAGCTGCTCCACCTCAAGCCACTCGGCTAAAAAATCTCGTTCTAACCTGGACACCAACAAAACATGGCGAGGAGATGCACTTTGTACTCAGGCGTCAACCGCGCACCCCATCAAACATTGCAAAACATGCCGCCGGCCTGGGTCGAACTTGCAGATCCCAAAACATCCCAGGAATGAGGATTATCAACATATGGGTACTGATGTGGTGGGGCTGGAAGGCTCATAAGCTTGATGAGCGAAAGCACACTTACAGATTGCGATCTGTTGCGCATGGGCTCCCCAAACACTGTAGTGAAAATTGCAACTGCTGCGAATTCGCTTCGTAGATCGGAGGAGCTGCGCGAAGCTCAGCATCGCTAGCCGCTAGCAATGTCCCAATATGTTCCACTGACACAAGCCAAGGCCTTTTCCAACATGAAGAAAGACCACAGGCCACCGAAACCCGGCAGGCCTGTCTCGACTCGTCGCAAAGTCCCTGAAGGAATTGAGAGCCCCAAAAGTCTACTGTTTAAGCGCGAAGCATCAGAACTAACATTACGAAGAATGGCGGGGTATGAGGCGAAGCCTCTTCTCGACTAAGAGGTCGGCTGGTCGGCTCCAAAGCCTCTCCCCACCGCGCCTGGCGGCGATTGTCGGCTCCAAAGCCTCTCCCCACCGCGGCGGAAGGCGATTCTGAAGAAGAAGCGACGGAGTTGGAAGCGAGAGGAGCTCCAGTGAAGGGAAATATTCCTGATGTAAGCAGAAGCAGAGACCAGGCACGGTCAAAGCAAGGCCAAAAGCCGGTTGATGAGAGACCAACGGTTGGCAAGAGGTATTCCCGGCAGTTGGGAGGCCCCTGCAGTCCGCCGCCACCAGAAGGGCTGTGAACAAAAGGCGCTGGCAGCGTGGCGAAATTCTCAGGGAGCAGACCAAAGCGAAAAGCCCTGCAGTCTGTACGTTAGAGGCCCCCCAACAAAATGCAGTTGACTGGAGACCCACGCGGAAGAATCGAGCTTGACAGCAGAAGGAGGCACCAAGCGAGCACGAATAACTATTGTCATCGAAGACAATCTTGTTGCAACCAGCGAGGATCAGAGTCCGAGGCCCACGGGGAGAGCCAGGATGGGGGAGAGCCAGGATGGGGGAGAGCCAGGATGGGGGAGAGCCAGGATGGGGGAGACGCGCCCCATCGCAGCGCAGGTCCACCGCAAGCCAGAAAAGGACCCGGACCCGTGGCCGGAAGGGCTTCAGGCTATGCCGAAATTTGGACATGAGGGCCAGACGCTCTGATGCGGAAGTGGGGTCCGCAAAAAGAGGTGCACGGCGGGGGCCGTACACGGAGTACGTGAGGATCAGGCCAAGTGGTCGAGCAGTCTCGGGCAAGGGGCCCGGGCAAGGGGTCTGGGCAAGGTGCCGGGCGGCGCGCCCACCACAATCACTCTGGGTGAGCAGGCCAGAGCAGACCTGGGGAGAAGGCGCCAGGGATCGGCAACACCCTCCACGCTCCCTTGTCCACGGATGTCAATGGGATATAGCGGTCAACCCCCCACGTCTCCCCCACATCCCCCATGACATCCTTCCCGCGGAGCCCTCTCCTCTGTCAACCTCCTCCGTCATCTCGTTAACCGTTTCTTCTTCGCGCCCACTCTACCGTCAGAAAGCGATCAGATATCGGGCCTTCCGCGGTGAAGCACTAAAGAACCCGACCCCAGAGGGGCTTTCGGGTAAAAAGTACAAGATCCGTGAAGCCAGGGCACTGGTCCAGGAAGAACAGCGGTGTTTTCATGGCCGCACCGGTCTTGACCAACTCCTTCGCCCGCTCAGTGGAGGCCATGGTGAGTTTTATCCTGGACACTGCCGCTGCCTTCAGGATCATGGATCTAGGTCGGTCTGCGGCATTCAGGTCCTGCGGCAAAGTATCGGGCTCTCAACGGCACATCGTTGCTCGGATTTGCTCGAGAAAGCACTGGAAGCTCCAGAGCTTGGCCTCGTCGGTCTGTCCAACCAAGGAAGCACCCACGCTCGTTGACACAGAGTACTCGATGGGGTCATGAGGAACATCACAATCGACATACCTTTTCCCAGTTTTGCACTTGGGTTTCAATCAAGCCCCAGGGTACATCACGCCGCTTGACTGTGGCTTACACTGTCTGAGCTAAGGCACGAGTTTGTGTCGGCATCTATTTTCAAGTAGCGGCCCTTGACGGGGTCAAAAGCCATCGGAGCACTGCAGTGCCTGAAGAACTCCTGCAACGCTCTGCATTCGGACATGCTGTTGCCGTCAGTGCCCCCGTGCAACGCGAAATAGACCCGGAACCGAACTGGCCCTAGTAAACATGGAATCTGCACCACGCTGCACCATTCGTAGCAAGATGCTGCATGTGCTGAGTCGGCCAGAAAATAACTTGTTTGGGCCCATGACGAATACTTTTTTTGCGCCTGGACGACTTCAGAAACCACCTTTTTTCCGTGCAACAGCACCGTCTACGATGCCAATTCCAAAGCTTCAACGCAGCAGCGAACAAAGGCTGGACCGACGCTGCCACAAACTCCCAGCACTCTCACATGAAGACGATGCTGCGAAGAGACCGTGGGCCAGTCCTTACTGAAAGCTCGGGGCTATTGTCTCGAAATGTCTCGAAGGCAATCACAACAGCTGGCATGTTTCAGACATTTTCAGACTACACAAGGCCCAGCCTGGCCAGAGAATGTCGAAGATGAAGATGATGAAGTGACATTTTGCCGCCCAGAAAGTGATAGGAGTTGCTTCGAGGCCGGTGCCTCGACCACGCGTTGAATCATCCTTTCGGCCGACGACGGCATGCAACACAATGCTCGTAATCGGCTTGTCGCCAGTGCAACCTCAATGGCATTTTCCTCTTGCCTGGACCATTCAACATTGCGAAGGCCACGAGGAAGCTCCAGAGCGCATTGCGCGATGTGAATCTGGAATTGGCTGTGGCAGGCACCTTCTTGGAAAATGGCTGTCCCACCCCTCTGAGTCACTAGATCAGCAGGCAGGTTCAATGTAGACATCTCTTGCAACAGGCACGCTGCTGTCCTCCAGTGCGCACCGGTCATTTGGAGCAGCAGAGAATTGAAGCACAGTGTGTCATGCTCTGTGCGATATTCTGCATCTTCAGCTATCATGCGTAACAGTTGGAGACTTAATGGCCAGTGACTTGCTTTTGCACAAGCACTTATGGCCGAATTCGCGCTACGCTTCAGCTTCTGCGCTACAACCCGCGAGTCTGCAGCAAAGATTGACCGGGCTCTATGCAGCATATGCAATGCCTGCATCCATTGCTCGCCCGACTCACATGCGCTGACAACTGAGTTCCACGTGATGTGATCCGCTTCTACGCCGTCTGAAAGGATCTTCTCCATGATCGCGATAGCCAGCTTCCACTGTCTAGATCGCTCCAAAGCACTCATGACCTTAACTGGCAGATGCAGTTTCCCAGCACCTGCTGTAGTGTTGCAGCACACATTGGCTCAACAGTGCTAAGTCTGTGGCGATACTGTAGCTAAACACAGTCGGGTGAAGCTCTAAAAGGGACATCTCCCTCATGAGAAAAATAGCATCTTTCCATCGCCGTCCCTTTCCACAAGCAGCTATACAAGTATTGAATGCCATGACATCGGGCTCTGCCAATGATGTCTCCATACCCCTGAGAAGCAGCAGGGCCCGCTCCCACTGAGAGGACTTCTCGCATGCAGTAATGATGGCCCCCCAAAACTGAACGCTGGGCGCCAATCCGCGGTGTCTCACGGACCTTATCAAAGCCAAGGCGTTTTCCCATTTGTCCGCAAACTCCAAGCAGCTTGCCACGGCACCGTAATGGTGCACTGTTGGCTGAACGCCAAGGGCATCCGTCTCTATTAGGTTCAATACTGCCAGCGCTGGTGCCCATGCTGCTGCAGATCTGCAAGCTCCGATCACAGTCGTGCAAAACATTGAGTCTAGCCCTTGGCCTCTCAATGAAACCAGTAAGTGCAGTGCAACATCCCAGCGCTTGGCTCTGCCACATGACTGCACTGCCCTGCTGTAGCTTGGAAGGTCCTGCACGGGCGCTCTGCAACATGAAGCTGGTCTAAGGCCACGAGAACCTGTCTTACCATCTCTACTCCTTAATAGCAGCCCTGCTTGCATGCTCAGATGCCGTAGGAGCCGCTTGGCCACTCAGGTCGTCAAGGAATTGCTGCCATCTGCTTATGCTTTGTGAGAACCGCCGCCCCCCTCGAAGCTGCCAAGCAAATCGAACAAGCATTTTGATCTCGAACAAAAGTGGCTCCAGAAGCTGCAGACATTTCCCTACTTGCGCTTGTATGGCGGCAGGTGACAGGCAGTGATCTCAAAAGGCTTTCAAACTGAATAACATGATCGAGGGCCTTGTCTCCCACTCGCTGCCAACCATTTCCACGTGGCTTTCTTGCCAAGCGGAGCCTGTAAGACTAGTCAGCAAGTCGCCGGAACCATATAATTTGTGATCATGGCAGCATCAGCCGATCAATGAACATGAAAAGCCGTTCCAGCCCTTTGCTAGGTAATCATGCTGCCCCAACGAAACGTCCACTGAAGATTGCACTACCTGCACTTTACAGGCATTTTTGCTGGAGAACCGCCGCCAAATTGTCCATACGAATAGAGTTCGCAAGCAGCCATCGTCAAAGGTATGTGGGTGCTAGTCTTAATCCCCGAGTCACTTGGCCACGCGCTTTGTGAAGTCAGGTCCCGCAAATGGGAACAGCAGGCAACACCAAGTATGTCCAAATATGTGGCTCTCCCTGGGCCGTATTTGACCTGCCTTCAAGAACCACAGGCATGCTCTGCAGCAGGGTGACGGGTCAAAATTAAAACAATCAGAACGAAACAAGTGCATACTCACTCCCCAAACGCCACCATATATATAGGTATATAAAATACAAAAGCAAAAGCCGGCACTTTTACATCAATTGGTCATCATCTGGTCGCTCCTCTTGCTAAGGTGTTGAGCACCAAAATCAAGAGGGCAGGTCATCATCTGGTCGCTCCTCTTGCTAAGGTGTTGAGCACCAAAATCAAGAGGGCAGGAAAGAGTCACCCCGGGTGGGTGGGTGGGAAAAAGCAGGAAGGCCGCCACACTTGGCCCAAAATGGCCACCGTGGCAGTACCCTCCTACCACGTTCGGCACATGTCACTACCACAATGCACGCAGTGTGTTCTGCGACAAGTGCATACTCACTCCCCAAACGCCACCATATATATAGGTATATAAAATACAAAAGCAAAAGCCGGCACTTTTACATCAATTGGTCATCATCTGGTCGCTCCTCTTGCTAAGGTGTTGAGCACCAAAATCAAGAGGGCAGGAAAGAGTCACCCACATGACCAGGAGGACCGAGTGTGACAGACGCCAGCTTTTGCCAACCTGCCGTTACGGCGCGTCGTCCGAAACAGAGGCGGCGGATGGGGAGGAGGAGGAAGATGATGATGAGCTGGATGCCGACATGGCATCCTGCCCTCTAAAGCATCTTTTGCATTTCTTTCCTGGGTGATCAAGAGGCACCCAGGCAAACAAAGTATTGTCGGTAGCAAAAGGCCAAGAGCATTTCGTCCTCCAGTGCCTTGGATGGAGGGCATGCCTAGGGTCCGATAAGTCGGTTGCACAAATGTGGACTTTTCCCCCCTGAGACTGGTTGAAAACAAACATGTCACCAGCGTTGGGAGGTGGACCTGAGCTAGCATGCTCTGAGGAGGCCTCGCAGTCCGAAAGCCAGTCTGGCGATGGGAACGCAATGGCAGGCAACGCGAGGGCATCGCGGCCTCTTTCCAAAAGTTGTTCCAGCTCTCTTCTCACCCGCTGTAGGCGGTCAAGGTGACCAGCTTCAACGGCTAGTTGCCCCAACTGCTCCACTGGCGCATTCCGAAGGTACTGGAGAACGATAGCCGAGCCCCATCTTCCGAAAATTTGGATGCGCCAAAGCTCAATTCCCTTTACCGCCATAAATTGGGCCCCTGTTGCTCTGGCAGAATGGCCAGTAAAAGCCCGTGCCCCATTCCGATGCGTAACCGCTAAGCCCAAATAGGCAGCCAGGCACTGAAAGGTGTCAGACCACCCTGACTTGGAAGGTGGGCAGCCGTTGGCATCAGTGAAAACAGGCGACGTGGGCGGCTTTCCCTCTACCTGAGCGAGCAGACAGTGGTAAGGACATAAGGCCCTGTCCATCGCTGAACATGCGCAAGCGTGACGCCGGGAGGCACCCAATGCGACAAAATCAGTCTTTGATGAAGGCAGGAGCCATGTCACTGTGCGGTCGGCATGGTTGAAAGAAAGATGCTCGACCTTGGACCTCGACGCCTCGATTTCCCGGAGCATCCACCACGAAGCAATCACGGTGGATCGCCCTGGGTGAGTGGGCCCCGAAGCTGCAACGGGAAGCGGGGACTGAAAGTCTGCGACCTTATCAAGGGGGAGCGCTTGTGCCTGCTTAGCAGGCCCAAGCCCTCTTTGACAACTCCGCTTGGCAGCTTGATATGCTTGATGCAACTGTTCAGACCAAGCGTGGCCCTCGCTTATATGATGCTGCTTGGCTACCTCCAGATACTGTGCAGCGGAACGGTAGCCAGCAAGCTTGAGCGCTCCCATCACTGTATGTATGTGGGAAGGCGTGAGAGGAAAAGGCGCCGCAAAGCATGCCTCCTCAGACAACCTTAGCCAGAGCTTCTTCCTTGACTCGATGGGGCCTGCCGAAGTGCAAGAAACAACCTCTGACAACAGGGCAGCCTTACAGGCCAATGGGTTTCTGGCCGCGGCGACTGCTGCCCGTGAGCTACCTCGACCATATGGCTTGGGTTCGCCCCGAGGAAGAGGATTGATCACCAGTGCCTGTGCTTGGGGCCCCTCCGAGGGCCGCCCGAATGGAATGGCAGGGCCTTCATGTAGGATGGTTTGCCTGGGCCTGGTGTTACCATGTGGCTCCCTATCTCTTGGGTAAAATGTACTAAGTGATCGCTTGTACCTGGGCATCTGGGCAGAAGCAAGAGTGCAGCTTCAACAAGGTGAGCAACAAGCGCAAGACCTACAGCACAAGCCCTACAGCGCAAAACCTACAGCGCAAGACCTACAGCGCAAGACCTACAGCGCAAGACCTACCGCGCGAAGCAGGCACGAACTGCGTGGTCCCTTTTTATACCTTCCAGAAGGCGTCGTTCAGGTTCACCTGAACAAGCTTGACTTTGACGAGGGCCTCCGGCCACTCGGGCGGCTTCGGCGAGAAGCGCCTTGAAAGTGCGTCAGCGTACACATTAGTGACTCCCGGGATGTGACTCAGACCTCCGATTCTGTAGCACCGGAGGGCTTGGTCCAAAGCGAATTCCCGGGCAAGAATATTCAGCTGTGCTGAATGGGCGCTGCCTCTCGCAAGCGCTTGAAGAAAACCAAGGTTGTCAGACTTTGCCCTGAAGGTTGCTCCGTGGGCAATCGTGGGAAGCCACAATCGGAATGCAACGAGCAAGGCTAGTCCCTCCCAGAGCGTATTGAATTTTGACACTCCTCGCTCAGCACCGAACTTTTTCAAGACACTATCGGGTATGGGCAGTGAGAAGGCCTCGAGCACGCGGCCTCCTCGACGAACTATGCCAAACTATGCCACCAAGGCCCCACGGTGATGCGTCAGTTACGATCTCGAGGTCAGTGTTCTCTGGGAAGGCGTAAAAGGTCCTTTCAAGCGGCCCTGGCGCGCCAGACATCAGCGCCCTTACCCACTTCAGTGCTGGGCGAATCCTCTTGACATGAACCAGCTGTCTGTACCGCTTGAGCGCGGTACCGTCATCCGCGAGTACATGTCTAGACAAAGCCGCCCAGAACGAAGTGAGGAAGGGTCTGAGGTGCGGCACCAACCCGGCCACGAAAGAAAGTGACCCCGTGTAGGAACGAAGAGCGCGGGAGCCTACGACGGGCTTTGAAAGGATGTTGTCAGTCTTGGCCAGAAGTTGCGAGACTTTGGTTGCTGGGATTGACACACGGACGGCCTTCTCCATGTCGCTGCAGCATATCAATGCCCCAATCCACTCCAGCTGCTTCCCACCAGTGGCTTTGGACATTTTGATGGGGAAACCGGCGACGGCTGTCCACAGCAATGCATGAGTGAGCTTACGGACAGAGCACTCCATGTTGCCTGCCATCACATAGACGGGATCATCTACGTAGACCTGCGGGTCGGTTGCCGATACAGCTGCAGTAGTTCGTCCCAACCACGCAGCGAACCTTCCCCAAAGGGTGGGGGATGAGCCCGAACCAAAGACCAAGGTGTCGAAAACAACCACATAATAGCTACCGCCAGGTCCAGGAATCGCAGCTGTAGTGAAAGATTTATCCTGTCCTGCTGGGACGTTCATGAAAGCGTCACGAATGTCCACACCTGCCAAGTAAGGCGCCTCGCCACTGCGGTACGCGCGGAGCACTGCGGCAACCACATCCAGTAAGCGAGGTAGGAGGACACGTTCCCCCTGCCTGCATGCCCGGTTCACCTGGCTTTCTTTCAAGTCCCAGACGATACGTGACTTCTTGACCGGTTGTCCCCTGGCATCGAGCTTGTACTTGACGACGACACCCAGCTTATTGAGGACGAAGTCGCGGCCAAGCTCTGCTTTCGCCGAGGAGACGGCAGAAGCCCCTTTCCACGTAGTCGTGGAGGAGTTCTTGAAGGTCCTTGGCCTCCTCCACAGCTGAACTGTAGTTGCACCATCCCTCCAAAGACCTGGCTTGAATATGGTCGGCTTCCACCTTGTCCACTCCGGGCGAAGGAGGGAACACTCCAGATGTTGGGATTTGCTCCGTAATGCCCAGCGGGGCGCCGTGGTCAAGCCACTGAGCCAGGATGTCCGAGTCGGGGTCGCGGGCGACGTTGCCCCAGGCCTGGATGACCGCAGCGCTCAAGGGTGTGCAAGCCTTGGCGGTACGTTCCCGGGTTCGTTGCACGGACGTAGCGCCAAGGAGGGTGAGCACGGAGTCGCGTATGGTCTGGACCAGTTTGGCCGGATATTCCTGGGGCTCTTCTCCCTGAAGTATGGCCCGGGCCGGAGACAAAAGGTCTGGCCACTGATCGACTGCTGAGTCGAACAGTGTCCGAACCGCTTCCCCTGCCTGCTTTGAGCCATGCACCCTAGGGAGCGAAGCTGCGGGGTTGCGCATGCCGCCCAAGGCCTTGAGGTTTTCTCGCTCCCTGTCAGTGAGGTCCTTCGGGAGGGCATTGAACTCTCCAGCCGGATCTTCAGCACGCGCAAGCCCCCGTCACGGGATGATCTCCCGCGCCAGTTCACTACGCCTCCAGGCATCGTGGATGCTACGGGCGATGACCTCGCACAGATGTGGAGCGCACTCACTTTGGACCGTGGCATCGACTGCCTTGTTTTGAACCACTAGCGGATGCGCTGCCCTGTAAGCGCGGCCTTGGTGATCAACCTGGTCTCGCACTGGGTGATGGCAGCGCACTCCATCCAAACCGTTAAACCGTGAAATGCGAACCTGGAGTGCTTGGCGGTTCCCAGGCCGAACATGCACTGATCGAAGTCCGCGGTATAGGCCTGGTGCCTTTGCAGGAGATTACGGATGGAGGGCATGTGCCAGAGCGACACCTTCTCCTCACCATACACGGGGTTCTCCAACCCCCAAGCCTTGCCCAGATCGCCCTGGTTGGACAGCACGTCCACAGTGTGAGCGATCAAGGCGTTGGCCGACTTCGTTTGACCTCGTCCTTGCTGAGGCCCGGCAAGCCGGACGGATGCTCGGTGTCCCTGATCGGCCGAGGCCTCTCCCTCAATGGACAGAAAGTTCCACAAGGTGTGGCAACCCAGACGGCATCAAAGAAGCTGTCCTTGACATCTTGGATGATGGGGCCCCACTCGGCCTCGTTGAGGACGTCGGTCTTGACTGCCGCCAATTTGTCCACTGCACAGACCAGCCAGCCCTTCGTTGCCAGAAACTGCTGCAAGTTCCCCGGCCTGGGTTTGCCGCTGAAGAGTATCAAAGCCCTCGGCTTCTCGGCTTCAGAGCCTGGCTTCTCCACCCAGGCACCGTAGTTTCTGGGCCCTTTGGCCAGCACCGGGAAATCTGGCAGTCTGCCTCTGTGGCTGAACCGAAGGTTAGCCGGCAAGGCCTTAGGTGTGCTGGGCTGTTTGGGCACAGCTGCACATGGCGCGGCTGATGCCTCCAATGGGGTAGGCGCGGCAGCCACAGGCAGGCCGGCACCCCGAGGAACTGGCATGAGGCCTGGCGCCGAAGCATCCCTGAGATTGGAAGCCGGCGCAGAAGTGACCTGCGCAACCTTCCTCCTCTTTCCAGGCGGAGGTGTTGGTGGTTTATGCGCCGGACGTGACTCAGCAGATGAAGTGTGCATTCAGTTGGCCTTGGCTTTTGGGCAGGAAATGGCTTGATGCGGGCCCAAACAGATGTTGCACTGGTGAGACCTCTTGTGTTCACACCTTCCCTGCGCCGCAGCCGTGCCACACTTCCCCTGGTTGTAGTTCTTGCAGATCTCGACGCCTTTGCGGTTGAGGACATAGACGTCGCCCTCTTTCCGCGAAAGATCCTCGCCCTGAAACTTACGTTTTGCCCTGGCCCTGCGCTTCGCTTCGGCCGGCTCCGGTGGTGGAATGCCGGGTCCGCCCGTGCTCCCGCTGCCTCCTGGGGCCTTTGCAGCGGATGATTTGTGCTGAGCCAACCAGAGCGTGGCTGGTGTCACCAGTTCCCGCGTCCAGAAGTCCTGCTCTTTGATGGCGCCAGCGAAGGACGCGTTCCACGGCCTGGCTGCTGTGAAGCCAAAGGCTGGGTCTCCAGCAAGCAGACGCCTGATGCGCTCAAGATGCTCAGACCTCATGCGGGACTCGGCGCGGTAGATAATCCACCAAGCATCATCCCCAAACTGCTGGACGAAGCCACGCACCAGCTCACTGTAGGCATCCAGCCTCTCAGCATCCACGGCATCCAGAAGGAGTAAAGCAGCCCTAAGCACCTTGAAGGCTTGATACCACGCATGGAAGGTGGAGGGACCGGGCTGTTCTCTCTTGCTCCATTCCCCGGTGGCCACGTTGAGCGTGTAGCTGGTGAATGACTGCTTACGGAGTAGGCGGAGCCCGTAGGGACCGAAAATGCTGAAATCAGCATATGGCGGGCTGCCCGCTGCCAGGACTTGTTTCAAAGCCGCTAACTGATCCGGTGAAGGATCAACGTCGGGACCTGGGAAATCGCCAAACTTCGCTTTGTAGTCGGTGTACATTACCTGAAGCTCCGACTGTGGTATCGGAAGGACCTCTGCATCCAGAGTTGGGTCCAAGATGGAGGCAAGTTTGAGTTTGCGTGAACCTCCAGTTGGAGGGCCTGGAGGTGGGACCGGGACGGGCGCGACGGAACCTGTGCCAGGAATGTCGTCAGCTGGGGACCGGCCCATCAAGAGCAGACAGACTCGCCTGAACGATTCCACCCTGGCACCCTCCACCAGAGTAAGGTTCCGTGTTGGCCTCGGTTCGCCTGGTCCAGGGGCCGCACCGGAAGGAACCTGCAATGCAATCACTGCAGTGTCCCATCCACTGCGAGGGATGAGGGCTACCTCGCGAACCCTAGCTGGCTGGCCAAGGGCCGACCGCAAGCTTGCTTCAAGTTCCAGCTCTACGCCTGCCCAGGCCAAAGCCTCGTTGAGGTTCGTGATGGCTGCGAGCTCTGCTGCAGTGGGATCCATATTACTTGTGGCGAAGGCAAAGGGCGCAGAAGCCGACGCAAGTAAAGGGCAGACGGCCAGGTGCACGAAGTCTCAACTGCCTCCCAATCTCTGCCAGTGTCCTCCACGTAGGAAGGGACTCTAAGCAAGAGTCGGGAACGACAATCAAGTCCATGCAGCACCCCCCCACCTGTGAGCGACTCCCGGGAAAAAGCAGGAAGGCCGCCACACTTGGCCCAAAATGGCCACCGTGGCAGTACCCTCCTACCACGTTCGGCACATGTCACTACCACAATGCACGCAGTGTGTTCTGCAACATAAAGAACAATACCCATCAAAAAATGACACTTCTTTCCTCATGCAAAGGCAACACTGACTCACCAACAATGTGTTAGTGGCGTGATGTGGCCTCTCATGCCCTGTGCCGCAGCACTAACTTCACTCGGTCTTCGCACGAGCAAGAATTGACTGGCAGAGTCAAAGCAGAGGATGAATCATAGCAGATCCGCCAAGGCCTCGGGCCGCACCGTATCCCACCTCTCTACCCTCCTGCAGTGTGAGTCGTTTTTGCTTGGAACAGGTGCCCCCTACCCGGGGACCCGACCCGACCTCTCACTCCCCTTCACCGAAAACCACAACTGCCCTTTCCTGGAAGTGACGGCCTTGCCTCGCCACGGCCATGGCCGCGAGCCCCGGCCGAGGCGGGTCACATAGTGTTGCAGCGACTTGCGGATCGGTTAGTGCGGATACTTCATGATACTTCCACTTTCCGCGGAGTTATCTGAGGTTAGGCACTCCAGGGATACTCGGTTGGATTCTCGTGGGCTTGTCTGCAGGTGGGTATTGCAGGGATACTCGGCAGGTCTCTCTGAAAATGCTCCCGGGATCTCTGTGCAAGTTTGGGCTCGGCGAGATTCCTTGAAAGCAGAGTGCGGATTTGGGTAGAATGTCTTAACATGGAGATGCTGTAGTTCGCATTTGGTCGCCCGAAAGCACTCGTTTTTGCGGCATCTGAATATATCAACACCATTAGGATGCAAGAACACTCAGCAGTTGAAGCTTCCAAAAAAAAGATTTTCTCCAGCACCCCTCGCACCTCACCCCCTCCCCCTCACCCCCCCACCCCCGCCGCCACATGCAAGGCCCAGAAACAACAACACAATCACGTTCCAGGCCTCATCGGCTTCTCAATCGGCTCTTCGAAGTCAAAGTCCTCTTTGGGAAGCTCCTCGACGTTTGGACATATGCGACATGCGCTGGATACACGTCATGCTGCACCTCTGGTTTCCAGAACGTGAACCTCAGCTCCACGGACCTCGCTGCCAGAGGCGCTTCGAAACGCAGTTCACATCTGCCAAACTGGCGGACACTAAGAGCGTAAGAGCTGAAAGCATCTGAGAGCTGGAGCCTTCTCTGGGCTGCTTCGAGCTTTGCATCCTCAAGAATTTCATGAGCTCATAAGCACTCGTGAGAGCTCAACTTGGCCTGTACTTGAGCTGTGGCTTCCACCAGGCCTTTGGGGCGTCGCGGCACGCATTCCGCAAACTAAGCCCATCCTTCGACACCATCATACAACATTTATCGACATTTAGCAACATTTAACAAGGTGCTGTGCTCAAACTGCTGGATTATGCTGGATTCCTTGATGGCTTGTGCTCGTGTCTTCCGTCGAGGTCCCCGCACCTGGAAATGGAGAAAATGCCACCGATGGCCGGGATCTACCGTTATCTGCCCATGCCTTCGAGTCCTCGTACTTATCCCCCACCATCTTTGATACGTACAAGACCTCTCGACATCGTCATGTCTTACGGAATGCTTACAGGTGTGAGGAAGTCGGAAGTCAACCTGAGAGCAGCGCGCTTCGAAAACCTGCTGCCTGCTGATCTTACAAATCACAGAACACTACTTAGAATAGGAAACATTCCAACATGCGCTGCGACCTCACTATCAATCTCAAGCACGTCTCCAGCTTGAGCTTCTCTTGCCTCTCTCTCCTGACAGCGCTCAGGCATCCAAAGTCAGGCAATTACCACAGTAAACCCCATGGTAAACCCCTGATGCTCCTGCCTTCCTCATGGTTTCTTCGCGGCCCTGGGCAAGTTGCCACATGGGCGTCCCTGCCACAGGGAACCAATGGCAAAATGAAGCCAGCGTTGTTGATGCATGATGACAGATGTCGAAGGCCAAAGCTAAGCGACACACCACTCCATCCTTCACTGAATTGGCACGCCATAGTGCCTCTACCAATTCAAGATGAGGAGAGGCAGAGGCAGTATAGGCAGTCAAGTCGAACCTAGTGCGCTGCTTACCCACCAGACCCCTAAACGTCAAGAAGGTGCAGTGGCCTAGGCTAAGTTGATGATCCCAGACTTCAGGAACACGTGTTGGGTTTTCTCTCAAAGCCACTGAGAGACAACGTTGCCTGGCCGAGGGGTTGGGCCACAAGGCCGCAATCCTGACCTCCTACCTACTTGAGCATGGTGGCTACCTGTCACAACAACCATTTCAAGATCAGTTTGGGTGCACATGAGCAGCCATTGTCTCGGAAGACTCAGCCTTCGCATTTCAAGGCTTGAACTTGCCAGACTGCAGGGACATCGGTTGCAAGTCTGTTGCAAAGGCATGTTATCACAGGATGCGTCGCTGGGTCGCAAGCGCCTCTCCACAAACCCGATGGGTCTGTGGATGACGACAGTCAAGGAGGAAGTGTGAAAACCCTTGGCGTGGCACATCCAGAGTGAGCCCGGTGCGAGGCGCTCAGCGTCTGCCGGCGCTCATTTCCTCGGCTCTTGCTCCAAGAAGACACTCATGGTGTGGCAGATGTGGCAAAGATTGGCAAAGCAACCCAACGCAGCTCAGACTGGCACATTGTTTCGGATGGCCTCGAAAATCGCACGGCGATAGTTTTCCTGAGGAAAGAAGGATGGAAAGAGCCCCGCGTGACCACACCATTCGGCCAAGTCGGCCCACGCAATAAGCGACTTGCAAGTGCAAGTTGCATGAGCAAAAATTAAAAAATTGGAAAGTGGGCCTGATTAGAGGGAATGCCGGCAACTCAAGCAACATACATTCTAATCATTCTATGAGTGCCTTCCTCACGTTGCTGGGTAGCACGCTTGGCGGTATTGGTCGAACCTTCGACAAAACGAAACCGCACCAGCTGCCTGCCAACACACGAATCTCTGTGTGCATGGGTAAATCGATCTTCTTAGGGATCCAAACCTCCATGGATGTGGCATCCCGTGGTCTCCTCGGGCTTGATGCCGAAAAGGCCATGATGTGCCATGCCATGCTCAGGCAAGAAAGCAAGCAGGGCACAGGGGTGTACTGCTCATTACTGCTCACTCCTCAGGCTGCCCGGATTGTAGCTTAGCTGAAGTGCCTCGTCGCAACGCTTCTATGCTCACACTGCTCACACTGCTCACACTGTGCCAATCTCTGCCATGTGCTCGCGACCTGGTTTCGTGGCTGACTTGTGTCTGACCTGAGCCGGGGTTGGCTGCATCATCCTGCATCCTCCTTTAGATTGACACTCCAATCGAGGTAAGCCCTCCACAAGAGAAAAGGTGTTCGCTTATCCTGGAGGATGCGCTGGACCATGCTGCATGAGATGCAGAACTTCGGCTACAGTGGAAATGCAAAGCAGCGCGCAGAAACCCAAGGGCGCACCCTTGCGGACATGATAGTGGCCTTTAATCACGACATGCAGGCAGAAATCATGGAGACATGTCACAGCATGCACGGACGTTCTTGGCTATGCAAATCAAGAGCATTATTCCACGCATGTTTGAAAGTGGAATCTCCCAGCATCTCCCAACAGCAACATCGTAGCCAAATAGTCTGAGTATGTCTGAGACATGCGCCAGACCGGCACGGCATTGCTCTTGCGCATGTTGCTCCTACACACCATAGAAGATCTAGAAGCATGCTCCTTTTCTCGTCCGCCGCGGACCATCCTGCAAGTCCACTCGCAAGCCCTTGCCCTGGCAAACGATTCTGCCTGCACGTTGCAGGGGATGATAGGGGCTGAAGTTGAAGAACTCAACCATCCAATGCTCACATTCGTATGGCTATGCATGGCCTGCCGCTCCGACACCTGTCTTGGCCCAGGCCTGTCAATGCCACGGACAGAAACATCTGCTTGTGCCATCGAGACGTCGGAACATTCGGAATGGAGGAACTTGAAGAAGCCGCAGCCTCGAATGGAGTTCCTCCACCAGCCGTTCTGGGCGTTTCCCGAGCACTGAGGCCTGCAGACAAGCAAGCAGACTAGTCTGCAGCAGAACTGGTTCAATATTTGCAAGCATATGCACACGATGCCACCTACAGTATACCGGCATGCGTAAGGGACTCGCATTGCTGCGTGAAGGTCTCACCACAAAGCTCCCGGGAAGCCGGCACGAAGCCTGCCCGAACACAAGGCGCAGGCCAGATGTGGTCACGTGGTCATTCAATGTCATTCGATGATTCGGGGCCTTTGTACTTGCAAATCGGCGGCATTGACCGCAAGCGAGTGCTGAGGTCCTTTGCCCGGTCTTCCTCATGTGCTGAGGACATGAGCAGCGCAGAAGCTCGCAAATCGCAAGTGACAGCCAAACTTGGGTATCTTGGGCTTCTGCTGGCGATGTTGAGCATTGCTGAAGATCGCCTGTGGAAAGCACCATGGCTCGGCCGTGGTCAGGGAGCAATATTCTCTGGCTTGCCCGAGTGTTGCTCGAGTGTTGCTTTAGTGTTGCTCTAGTGTTGCTATGGTCTTTCGTTGGCTTGCATGATCGGTGTCTCAAGCGGCAGCAAAAAACCAGCGCGCGTCTGGCCACTTCTCCTCATAGACATGGCTGCTAAGAGAAATATCCTTGACAAGACCGTCAGCATGCTGCCCACCTTTTGCGCCGAAGGCATTGCCTGCCGCATTAACAGCATCCATAGCTGCTTCGAGCTGCATGCCCGCATGGCAGCTGCCCGGCGTGTCCCGGCAAACGTGCTGCAGGCGACAGATGCTGGGCCCATGGCTCGGGAGCTTTCTGGAATCAATCATTTTTCCTACGTTCCCACATGACAGGGAAACGATGCGGTGCAGCCACAATGCAGCCGCAACGCAGCCCTTGCCAACCTAACTCAGAAACACATATGTCAATTGGCAGACTTCTCATAACCACAAGACAGCTGTCACGTTTTCCCGTGCACTTTGTGAAACGGAATCTGAAATTTCAACTCAGATGCAATACCGAGCTGGCCTGGCAATACCGAGCACAATACTTCCAACTGCCGTCCAATATTTTCCGACCAGGAAGAGGTCTACACACCTTCGACATACACGGATCAGACACCATGTGATGATAAGCAGAGCCTCTGCGAGCTGTCATAGCCCTGAGCGTCTCGGCTTTCCTCACCTGAGGGCTCTGGGGTCCCGAGCCCGACATAAAATCCATCCCACGTTGCGCCTTCGGTGACTTGTGCTTGATGTGCTTGAGCACTTGCGGGACCTGGTTAGGTTTGAGCATGTTTGAACTCATGAGAGCATTCCGCGGCACTCCCAACACCGACCAAGTCTGTCTGAGCCCGCAACTCACTGGTACCCGGCTGCCAGCAAAGTTCGTCCTGTTTGACACATTGCCGGAAACATCGATGGCACAAACGTCCGGAGAGGTCTCGATATGCGACATTGTGCGAACAGCCTGCCAAAGCTGGCGTCCATGGAGGCGCAAGCCCCAATTGAGCTTGCCAGGTTCTCCCTGCGGTCGTGGTGCTTGTGGATATTCGCTCAACAGGTGTCACAAGCTAGCACACTTCCGCACATGAGCGTGTAGACGTTCTGGAACGGAACTCGGTCACTCCAAGTGCAAAGCAAGCGTTTCCACATATCTTCATCGGGCAACCGCAGCCTTCAGCAGTTGCGATCTGTTGCTGAAAAGCAGAAATCAGAACTCTAAGTCTCCAACCGGTACCGGCCTGAGTTCGGATCAGTTGCGCAGCAAAGTTCAGCCCGACTCGATGCTACACTTAGTTCGCTGCGGATTTCCAGCAGCCGCAGGACAGCAGAATTGAGCACTTTCAGTGTGCAGTACCTGATGCGCAATCGGCACCTCCCCTCAGATCTCTCAGGTCAACTGAGCATGAAATCTTGTGGCGCACTTTTTGAATAAGTGCATGTGCCAGATGTGTAGTGGGCAAGTTCTCAGCAAGGCATCGAGCCAAGAGATACCAAGAGGCGCACATGTTCAGCCTTGCAAAGGAAGCCAAGGGCGAGGCTCATCTTGGACGAAGCAATGAGCAATAAATATCAACGTCGCCAGAATGTTTCCAACTTCTGATGCCTGCAAAAGATATAGATCTTGAATCTTCTAAAAGTCTTCTAAGCCAGCGCTGGAAGCACCGTCAAGCCTGCATGTTCGTACACTGGCTGTACACATCCAAGAAATAAGCACTGGCATGCGCCAAGATAGTGCATATGTCCTGCATGCAACAACAAGAAGACAGCACGTGATGCCAACATCGAAGGCCGCAGTCCTCTACTCGGTAGTCGCACATATGCAAGAACCTGGAGAGCGAAGTGGAGCCAAGTGAAGCGAAGTGGGGAGAAGTCGACCCGACTTCTCATCTCATTCAAATTTCTTGGCTCCCCTCCCTTTTCCTTTGCCTTGCTTGAGCCGCACGTACCCACCCGCCACCACACGCACCCCAACCTCTCGTGTCCAGAAAACAGCTCGCACAAAAAGCAAGGACAATGTCCACATCCGGAGATGGATGAGGTACTTTTGAGCTCGCTTCCTCTTCCTTTTCCATACACCGCTTTCACCGAAGCGCGTCGTCGCATCGCAGGTGTAAAATCACGCCCTCACATGAAAGCCTGGCTGCTACATGGTGCAGCATGGTCTCTTGCTGTCCGGACAACACCAACAACTCGGTATTTGTGCCGTCTATGCCGTTGTTGGCCTGAATGCCAACAAAACCTTGCTCATCTTTGCCCTTCACATGGATTTCATGAAACAGAATTTTACATTGCTGGATGTAGCTTTTGCGGTCTGGAAGCAGCAAAGCTTTCTGCGTGATTCCGCGTGCGATTCTGTTAAGACAACCTCTGCTTGGAATCTTGTTTGGTCTAGCTTGCAACGCGAGCATCTTCAGGCCCTCTACTTGAGAAGGAAAGCTGTACTGGCTCTGTATTTTGATCGGAGCCTCTACTTCCTTAAATTACACCCGATACTAGGCAAACCTCTCTTCCCCACATATGTATAAAGTTTTTGCTTACTTATGCTTATATTTATGTATTTCCAATTACGTTATATTTATAGTTTTAGATATATACACACATATACTTAGATGTATATCTATATTGCTATTTGTTATCATACTACTTACACTCAGGTTTACATGTGTGTATATATGTATATTTCAGAACTATATATTTTATGTACTTGCGTACTACACCGAAAAGCCTGTGTTGTTGCAAGGAGAATCGGTCCGGTACAGGTACAGGGATGACGTCCTTGTTAACATGGCCAGCAAGACTATAAGATGCACTTTAAGACGCCGATCAAGGACCGCACGCTTTGCCATTTTGAGAAGACAAAGGTGCAGGACAGCAGTTGGAACATGACTGCGCCTTGCCTGAGAACTCTCAAAAGGAGCTTCCCAGCCTCAGGCAGATTCTTCCACAAACGGCTCTCAGATGCCTTCATGCCTTCTCATGTGATCCCTTTGAGTGCTGGGCAGCTGGAACAATCGACGTCAGCGGCGTTAGCTCCAAAAAACACGAGACTAAGGGGATGTCCTGCCGATTCACCACACAAAGCCAACAAAACGCTTCAAAAAAAGCCCTAGTCACTAGTGCCACCAACGTCAGTTTCACAAGGTTTCACGCACTCAGCAACCCTGACCGATCCTTGCCGCGTCCGTTCTGTTTTCCGCTCTTGGTTCCGGGGAGTTTGCTTCCCTTCCTGATTTAGGGAAAGCTGACTCTGTCCCAAACAGATCCATGCTGCAACAACAGGCAGCAACGTCAACATCGTCGTATTTGCAGTTCAACTCCCCAAGCCCCAAAGTAGTTGCCCTCAATCTTCCTGAGCTTGCGCGGCTTGGTTAATGCCCTTCATCCCCCTCTGAATGCGACGCCGGTGCAACCTGCGGAAATCCACCATCCTGAGCCACGCGTGCCTTCAACAACATACGCATCATTCGGGGACACTCATGTATATATGTATATATATATATATATATATGTATATATGTGTATGTATAATGATGACTATTTATGCATGTATGTATGAATCACGCACATACACACTTTGTTCTTCATTTTAATAGGGGTAGGGCTGGGGGTCGCCGTATTACGTGCGTGTATAAATATGTGTATATACGAGTCTCGTAATCGCATAAGAATGCACCGAATTCCAAATCCCGTATCCATTTTATTCAAACAAGTATTATTAATTTCATGTTTTTTTTTATACTTTTAATTTGGATTCAAAGTCACATAATTTACAGGAAAGTTGTACAATTTATCGGTCAATACTGGAAATACATACATGAGCTGTTGTCATACATGCGATGTTGTGGCGAGTTGTTGATGTCAGGGTGTGGGCAGGAGGGGTCCAAATTCAACATACAGTGCGGGAGTTTACAGATCAGCCGACATGCAGCCTGGAAAAGCCTTGTCCAACCAGGCATCAGCAAAACGACGTAACAACAAGCCTTCAAAAGTATGTGCCTGGCTTCACAATTCTTCAGCATGATTCAGTAGCAGATTCGCTTTGCCATGACGGGCGAGTTGAAAAGGGAAAAGGAAGTGGCTGCATGACCAGGAACCACATGGAAGCAAGCAGCCCCAGAAACCAGACACAGCAAGAGACAAAAGTTGTCCTCCGCACAGTACGCGTAGGAGCGCAAGGGCCATAAATCCTGCCTAGGCACGCCACCCGCTTTTCACAGATGAGAAGAACACCGCGCAACCCAACCGCTGAAGAGATCTGAGCGCCAAACCGAAATGCCACATTCTCCCACGTCACAGCCTGATGTCAGTCACAGCTCCAGATCAGAATGCAGAGTCGCATAACGCAGCGAGATAATTTGAAGAATCTCTCTGGCGCCATGCTTCAGGAATGTCAGCCGCAAGTTGGGGAAATCAAGACGGGCACCATGCCTCCACCCCCTCCAAAGTCGTAGAGGTATGACCAGCTGAGGAGCTCACTACAGCTGTGCCTCGCCAAGCTTCGAGTTATTCATGACCATGGAAACCACCCTGAACGATTGGCGTTCCGACTCAGAACTCGACTGGCTGTGTCAGCACGAGGCCTAATCGGAATTCGTCCCCAAAGCTGGAACTCGTTCCCAAAGCTTGAAGTTTCGCTACGCAAGAAACGCCGGTCTTGGGGGAATGCTTGTGGTCTTCTCCTGCTCTGGCAGCTTCTTCCCCTCACACATGATTACAAAAGAAGTAAAATCGCTCCAAGTATACATATGCTTGCTCAGAGACATCCTTGTGAATCCTCAGGCCCTGGCACCTTGCTCCATCCTGGCACGTCTCGTTTGTAGCTCATGTGATGGCGCGTAATACAGTAGTTTGTCTGCGTCTTCTTGTTTCTGCTGTGTCCAAGACTACTCTAAGAGTTCTAAATTTTCCAGACCCTAGGGTGGTGCCAGAACAGATCTCGGATAGATAAAACAAGCCTAAGAATGATAACAAAACCCAGAGAGAAGGGGCACTGAACAGAACACAACAAAGTTTCTTGGGTAATTCGAAACAGAGAAGAAGACAGCAAGGAGGAGCAACGCATGGGTTGACAGAATCACACCCCCGTGTTGGGAAATGCAATGAGAATGCGATACCTCGCTACCCCACTTGTGCTCTGCCACCCTGGGCACGGTCATCGTGTGAGCAAGGTTTCGATTCAACCGCGAGACCTACCAGCCGTACCTGACCTGACATCGCAATTGACCTCGGCACAGGATCCTCCCTCCCACTTACGCCTCTCAGCATTCTTCTTTTTCATTTCACTTGCCCAAGCCAGAACGCACAGCATCGCTTAAACCCGGAGCTTTGTCCGTTTCCAAGCGTGCTGTACCCAGAGTCCCAATCACACGTAATGCCAACGAACGGCCCTTGCACTCAAACGATCGTACAGCACTCATCTGCTTGGGAAATGTGCTTGCTCACATCTGACTGGCCGTGTAGCCTGAGCCATCTGACAGCTGCAAAAGCCCATGTGCCATATTGGGATAAATGAGGCAAGTCACCCCTGCAAGAACACGGCCTGCTGCAATGTTGTGATTGTCCCAGGACGGCACATACGCAACCATGGCAATAAAATCCTTGGCATCGCAGTCCCACTCTTGAAACGACTGCGGGTACTCCGGTGGGTACTCGCCCGGCGACATGCAGCTGCACCATGCCGCACGTCGTCATGTACATCAGCCGCTTTGCTTGGAAGTATCTTGAAGGTAGTTTGAAGGTGACAACAGAGCTTGACCAGAACATGCTGGAAAATCTGTACGAGTAGTGCAGACATGGGGCTCACCTGGGACATCAAACCTGTGAATGGCGAGAACAGCTGCACAAACACCAGAGCGCCCAAAGCCCGCCTGAGTTCCACAGGTGCAATGGCATGGCTTGTAGATGTCTGGACTAGCCATAGCCTCTTTGCGTTGTCCCTTCTGTTCGCCAGTTTGATGCCTGCTGAGGCCCGCCTTGCAGTGAAAAGCTATGGCATCCTCATGGCCAGCACAGCCATGGATGACTTTCTTCAACACATCCTGGCACGGCCACCGCTCTACAAGCTCAGGCAGACATGTGAAGCACACGTAAACGCTCAGAACCGCTCAGGATCCCACCTTGGGAGGTACACCTCCCTGAGTGTCATCATAAGCTCCTTGTATATGGGTCATCCCCTGTTCCACGAAGAGACTCGGGTCGTAGCTCTTACTGAGACCTGCACCAGGTCACCAGCATGGTCTATTCAGTGAGGCTGTAGCCTTTCTGGTCAGGCCCGCTTTGCCTGATTCTCTGTCCTTGTTCAAGCGCACCAACGTTTTGACATTGTTGGACTCAAACCAGGAGAAGAAGTTGGGCGAATCTGGAGGGATGAGATGACTCGCTGTTTTGGGGTCTGGATCAAGCGCTGTGGTCACCTCAGAAGGTCTTTTGACGCATGCACCCAGAAGACTACCCACCATGCTGACAGTCTACATTGAGTCTACATGTTGACTTCACGAGCTGCCTGATGCAACTTAAACCTAAGGGAACCACTGGATCAGCAAGAAGGAGGATCTGTCCGGGAATGACCCAAGCAGCGTCCCACTCGTCACATAAATCCCTGAAAGCCTCGGCTGAGCTGGCCTACCAGCTGGACGCGGTGAAAATAGGTGGGAAGATCCATAAACAGTGGCGAATAGAACAATGGCCGAGACAAGCAGCTTGTGCATTGAACTGCTCAACCTCCAACCACTTCTGCCTTCAGTGATTCGAACATGATGCTGCCCTGAACATGCCTACGTGATTTGCGGCGGGCCTGATTGCCAAGTCCAAAGCCGCCAGGCATTTCTGCAGTGATAGGTGTCGAGGCGGCGCTGGCTTGTGCAACGGGGCCCACGAATGCTGCCTCACCCGCCATACAGGGACTGGCGAAAGTCATGGTCTTAGCACAGTCACGGCTGTACTCCCCATGTCCACAACATTGCAGAAGTCATGGCAAAGTCATTGCTTTGGGTGTCTTTGCCATTGTTCCCTAACAAAATGGTCTTTCGCTCCACCCTTTCGGGAGCCGAGATGGCATGGTTGGAAGTTGGAAGTTGGAAGGAAATCATGGCTTTGGTGTGTTTTGGGCTGGAGGCAACTGTCCCAACCCCCCGAAAATCGCTCAATGTAATTCACCGATGGTCTGATCTAAAATCTAGCGACGCTGCCTTTGATGTTCATGCTTCAGTTGTAAGGAACAGGTTTGTTGGAACAATTCCTGTGGGAAAGGGTTAAAGCCGAGCCAAAAGGACTTCATGTGCGGGCTTTGAAGCATTGCAAATCCTATCGGGACTTTTCTGGGCCTAGCTGAAATCCATACGTGCCGTGTTCTCGACGCAACCTCTGTGTGGTGCCTTTGGCAGGCAAGTGGGTGCTCCAACCGGCCAATGCACTTGTCGCATCCGGTCATTGACATCATTCGGGCATGGATACTCTGGTCAGCGCATGCGTCGGTAGCTCTTATCAGTTATCATAACGTGCTGTCCAGTCTAGGATTCTAGAGAATCCTCATTGGAAACACCATGTGGGTAAACAAACCCATCCCTGCGAAACCCTTTCGCCTCCCTTTTTCTGCGTGATTTAAGCATTCCTGTGGTATGCCGGCTTCTGTGTGCCATTTGCTGTCTGCGGCCTTGTCAAGAAGGGGCCTGTTGGAAACACATTGTTCCATGACGTTCCACGTGAGCCACGCATTAAGCTAGATCCAGCTAGACACCAATCTCCCGCACACCAAACTCCCGCACGACAAGCCACGACTCCCATGAAAACAATGAAAACCATTGCTGCTTGAGGCTTTTTGAGCCTTGTTGCAGCCAAACTGCCGAAATCCGATTTCCTGCCCAGTCCAAGCAGACAGGGCCGTATCCAGTGTGGCACCTCTCCTCGATTCGATGAAGTCAGCCCCAATGCCACTGTTGCGGGCATGATGCATGTCGCGACATCTTCACTGAATAATCACGGAATCTGAAACAAGCGTCATGAGCAGAGGATATGCGGAGGTGCAAAGGGCAGAGAAAGCCCTGTGCGAGGCAAAGTCCGCGCCAGCAGGGCAAACCACCAATACTTTCCTTCCGGCCTGAGAGATCTGAAACTCTGCACAGGGCAACAGAAGGCTGAACCGGCTGAACTTTGCAGAGCTGGCAGCATGCCTGCAATTTCTGATGGAGAAGACGACAGGATTCTACAATTTGATCGAGAGATGGCGGCCCATCATCATGATAGTAGCCTTTGTAACTTGCAAAGCAGGTCTGCGCCTTCAATACACATGGCAAGGTGCACGCGTCGCAAACGCGACCACGAAACCAGGCATCGTCTCGAATCAGCCAAGCGTCCATCAACGACATAGTGTGGGACTTGGTAAGCCCCCTTGCGCACACACGTTTCATTGAGGAAGCACACCACATCAACTTCGCCAGATTCGTCTGTGACCTGAAAACCGAACCACAGACCACAGATCTACGGACAAGTTCTGATCCACTCTGTGTCTTCCAAAAAAAATTATGGATCAATGTAGGCAAAGCGGTATGTATGCAAAGAAAGTGAGTAGAGAGAGAGAGAGAGAAAAAAAAAAAAAAAAAAGGAGGGAAAAAACAAAAAGATAAAGGGAACAAGAGAGAGAAAGCCAGAGAGAGAGAGAGAGAGAGAGAGAGCGCGAGAGTGAGAGCGAGAGCGAGAGCGGGAGCGGGAGCGGGAGCGGGAGCGGGACGGGAGCGAAGACAAGAGAGAGGAAGCGACAGAGAGAGAGAGAGAGAGAGAGAGAGAGGAGGGGGAGGGGAAGGGGGGGAGAGGGGGAGAGGGGGGAAAGGGGGAGAGGGGGAGAGTGGGGAGAGTGGGGAGGGGGGGAGAGGGGGGAGAGGGGGAGAGGAGGGAGGAGGGTATTGCTGCTTCCCCGCCTTCGGTTTCCATGTGCCATTGTCGTACACGCAGGAGGCGTCATCCACCCAACGCAGATCGTCTCCCAGTACGTTCACAGTCGGCATGGGTCACCAGCGAAGCTAGCAACTAGTGCGTTCGGCGGGGTTGAACAAAGACACGTGGGCAAGCTTGGAGAAACTGACGTGCCTTCATGACGCGAGCTATGTCATGTGAAAATGTGCGGAGCGACTGGTTCAACTTTGTTCATCCAAACCCCCAAGCCAAATATCAGGGCACTATCAGGGCCGCACAGCACACATGAGCAACAGCCATGAGCAAACAGTCGTGAGCAAACAGTCGTGAGCACCTCCTGGCGTGGAGCAGGGAAAGGCACGGCTCTGCTGGGGGCTGCCTTACTGCCAAGCTCAAGGAATTGTTGCCATCTCACTTCGGGACCGTCGACAGGACACTGTCTTGCCCAAAACGGCGGAGGCGAGGCCTGGTCAAACTTAACCTAGCAAGGAATATGGCGCAAAGCGCCAGGCTGCAGATGCAAAGTTGCAAAAGCAAGAAAGAAAACACAAAACAGCGAACAGCGGTTACACAAAAGCGACCTGCTTCGAAGTGTGGCAACATGGTGGTCCAAAACCGCCAGCCCACTGCTGATTCTAACCCTGAGAAAGTCTAGCTGACCAGCACAGCAAGAGAGAGAGAGAGAGAGAGAGAGGGACAAAGACGCCCTCTAAGACGCTGGCATTCATGACTTGTCTTCCCAGCCAGCTCTTTGCAGCTCATGGCTCAGGCCCGTGGCTACAGTGTAGTTAGTAAAGTTTGGGTTTCGTTTGGGTTTCATGCGTGGGCGAGTCACGTTTTGAACCCAGAAGCTGATGCCATGGTACATATTTCACACTGGCTGAACCAGCACACGGATGCTGCGGGAAGCGGCATGTGCAAAGGAAAAGGGCTCTCCGATGCAACACAGCCAAGCCACAGCCCCAAAACAAACAGCGTTTTGTATGTTTTGTCCCTTCAGCCTCTGTCAGCTTTGATATGTCTTCAACTGGTTTTGAAGGGGCACATCTGCGCCCCTCGGTGTTGGACTCCTGGAACGATCTGGAACGTGAGATACGTGGAGGTGGGTCTTGGGTCTCGACCTTGTGAAGCCACCAGGTCCTTGAATGTTGGCAGCATTTCTGGTTCCTGAGGCTGGGGCACCTGCAGAGACGAACAACAACAGATACATTAGAATGAGAGCACAGCCAAGTGCTGAGCAAAATCCTGGCAAAACCATGCCTCTACAAAGTACGCATGTTGCTGCGCAACTTCGGCTGACGATCGCCTGCAATGACTGCTGACATGCAGGAGCAAGCGCGACGCTACAGCAGACAAAGCCTGTCATGCCTGTCTGGGCACAGCTGCAAGAGGGATTGCAGCAAGTCCAGGCCCAACGTGGAGAGACTTCCATCTAGCGACTCCCATCCTGGCGGAAAGGGCTGAAATCATGAATCTGAAGATGTGGCGCGGACCATGTCATAAGCCCAACACAACTCCTTGCGACAGATCAACACATCTCTTTCAATGCCAGTCCAAAGCTAGTTTTACCGACAAAGTTGCGGGATCTGATCATTTGCGTTTGATTCCCAAATGGTTCCTATTGGCTCTCTGCAATTTGCTGGGTGCGGATTGTAGAGCACCTTCTGGCGGCCTCGCCTTACCACACCATACGAAAGGAGATAAATGGAGTCCTTACACCCTTGGATATGGGATTACCGACACAAGCCATGCACCCATTTGTTGAGCTCAAGGGGTGCATTTTCGACATCATGTATCTGCAAATAAAGTGTATCAAAAGGCCTGCAGACCTGCGGCACCTCAACAAAGTGGGCTGCTCACCGTACATATGCCACTGCCAAATAATCACCTCACCTCCCCAGCTTTGACTTTCTGTGTCTTGAGGGGCTGGTTTTTGTTGGCCAAGCCTGTGGGTTGTATTATCATGTATTTTCTGAAAGTTGCCATTGGATCGGGGGAGGTGAAAAAGACAAGCGACCATTCGAAGCTGCGCCGCTGAACGCTCTCTCTTGCTCTCTTACCATTTCTCCTTCTCCGGCCCATTCTGGGCTGCTACACTTGGTACGCCTTGAAAGAAAATTCAAGCTTCTTGCCGTGTCTTGTGGCCCAGCCTGGGAGGAGGTGTTTGAAGCTGTCAGCCCATTTCCAATTTGGCAATGCTTGGCATCCAGGCCAAGTCTCCTGACCAAAGCAGTCCAGCCCCGACTGCAACTTTGTAACAACGCAAACGACTCTCAAAGAAGCACACTTTCACTGGTCAACCTCGGAGGGCATGCCGACCAAGCCAAAGATCAAACCCAGCTGGTGCAGCTCGGCCTTCCCCTGCCATTCTCACATCTGTATGAAAACGCAGTCCTCAAATGCTGCTGAGATGCTGCGACTGTGGGGGAAGTGTGTGGGGAGTTGTGACCAGGCTTTGTTGGTTGTGTTGTGCTTTGCCTAACAAGCTTTGCCACGCAAGCGTTAGATACCTGGACTGGGAGGCGAAGCCATTGAGGCGGCTGGAAGTGAACCAGGCACAAGCGCTTTGGTGGCGATACAGTGGCGATCCAACCTCGTGTGCTCGCTATCTTCCAGCATAGCATCAGACAAGGGCTGGCTGCACGAACTTGGAGAAACTGGAAACAGGTGAGGCAACACTATATTAGCAACCCCGAACCCAGACACCGTTTTCCAAACATCAGGCTTGCAACACACTTGCTTCTCGTTTCCAACAGAAAGCGCTGGAATACAGACCCCGACCAATGACAAGCGTGAGTCTAACTTGCAATCTCCTCGCTAACACACTGCTGCCTGGAGAACCTCCTTCTCAACAATTCGTTGCTTTCCAGGCATCATCCGACATTGTTGCTTTAACCACATTTTAGCCTAGCTTGCACCCTGCTTTATTTTGCCTGCCTCAAACAAAGGTCGCCGCAACAACAGCTCTCCAAAAACACAGCCGCTGCTCCAAATGTCGACCGCACTGCTGTATGTCCTGCACAGAAGTGGATCAGCCTACCATTGCTGCACAACCCCCATGGCTTCCTCTGTCCCAGAAGAAGTTCCGGAGCACGATACCATAGCGATTGGACCTTGCGTACCCATGCTTTCTGCTCACATTCAAGAAGATGCACGCTGGTGTGGTCTTGTGGCATATTTGTAGAAGCGGTATGTGGAGAAGTTTCGGAAGTTTCCGTTTGGGGTTCTCGATGATGCGACATGCCGTACACGTGCCCTCGAGGAACACTTACGATCTGTACATTGTTAAATGCATACTCCAGTATCGAAAAATACTCAAACCAGAGGAGTGACCATGCAGGAGAGGGTCACTGTGGGCGCGTTGTACTTTCTGTTCGGTGTAACTACATCCCCCTCCCCTTAGCATGGGGGGGGGGGGGCCGAAAATGTAAATTACATTTTCGGGCTCGGGAGACGAGGAAAAACAATAAATGTAAAATCCTATGCGTGGGATTGCTTGGGATATGAGATATGCGTGGGATTGCTTACCTTCCTACCCTAGTTACCCTACCCTGCAGCACAAACCTGAAAATGTAAAAAGTATTGCTTTGCATTTATGCGCGCCCCCCCCCCCATTTTACATTTATTAAGGGGTAGGGGATGTAACTACTGTCGGAATGTACAAAGTGGCGGAAGCGAAAACTGTATATATGTTTTCTTTCTCGCAGCCAACCTGCAGCCAAAGAGACAGTCAAAGTGAACATGTATGCGTCCTGCTCAGAATTGTTCGCCCAGGCTTGTATATATACACATATATATTTTTTCTTATTCCGGTAAAGACATGAAAGATCTCCCCTTTTCGTGCTGTCACGTCCTTCGAATGATAGGGTAACCACCCTGTCACGTAGGTGGTGCAATAAAAACGGCTTTGCTGAATAGCGCAGCTTGTATTTTCAATCGAAACCTTGTAGTATTGGCCGTTTATTAACAGGGCTTGGCATTTCAAAGAGGAAAAATACATAGTTACCTTAATATGTTTTCCAGATCTTAGCACTCACCGCACAGAAGCGTTTCGACATCCGGGAAGATTGTGAGCAGAGAACATTTGTTGTTCCGCAGCCTGGTCATACACCAGTGTAGACAGAAATCTCCAGAGCCCGCCCCAAGCTATGTCAGCGAGGCGTGTCCCCAGCCAAGCGTCTCGAAAGCGCAGCCTTTTTTACTTTCATTTGTGCCACTTGTATACGATGGGGGGGGTAAAGGGGGTTGGAGGGGGATGGACCGGGGTTGGAGGGGTTGGAGGGGGTTGGAGCGGTCGGAAACAGACCGAACCGAACAGCAAACCGAACAACAGTGAACCGCATGAACGGAAACCGTTCCAACGTATGTTCCGGAAACCTAAATGAAGCTACAGGAAGCGTGGCCTTCTATATCCGCCAACCCAACCGGGATCGGCGCTCCAGCCTTTCCCCCCACCTCAACCCTTGGCCCATCGCGCACAGCCCGTGTTCTCCTCCTCCTATCCCGGCCGGGATTTCGGGGGTTAAACTTAAAGCAGATTTCTGGTTGGTCGTGATGCATACCTCTACCCTCACCCTACCCCTTCCCACACCCCACCCCGCCCAGACCCACCCTGTTGCCCCGAGCCCAAAAAAATCTATTTCAACCTCCATGACCCCTTTTTAGAACCCTTTTTTCAGGGGTAGGGTTGGGGCATATATGTGTATGCATATATACATATATGTAAGTCGTTGAGAGGCCGGAACGGAGACATGGCTTGTTTACCAGGCATGACAAGCGTATGCGTTGCACCATCCTTTGCACTTGCAGACAAGGATCACGCTGGGTACAGGGGCGTAACGGCCTGGGCCACATTCCTAACCGCCCCTCTGACACATCGAAGCACGTCAGAGCCTGTCTGGGGGTTGGACTCTCCGAAGTGACGTGCCAAGCCAAAGTCGCAGATCTTAAGGATCCCCTTCCTTGCAGATTGCACAATTTGCACAGCGCCAAAGCGCCACTTATCGAAGAAAGACTATGCTAAAGAACTTTAGGTTTTGTCAGAGTAGATGCAGAAAGTCATGTGCTCTCCGTTCCCGAATCCCAACATCCTGATCCTCAGCCAGGCGTCTTGTCCAACAGGATATTGGATGTTTTCAGGTCGCGGTGCAAAATCCAGCACTGATGGAGATGTCCAACACCACGCAGCAGCTGGACAAGTAAGCACTTCATCTCAGCAACGGCGAACTTGTGCTTTGCAAGGAGAACCCTGAGCTCATGCTCCACGTACTCCATAACCATGAAGATATGCTGCAAGGTGTTGCCGACCACCTCAAGGCAAAGCACCAGAAAAAGCAACAGGTTCAACTGGTCCTTGATTTTACAGCTTTCCCTGACAACTAGGTTCCTAGCTACCTCACGGCACCGCACTACATTGGGATGCTCGATCTCCAGCAGTAAGGAGATCTCACGCAAGGACGCGCTTGGGAAGCCATCATCAGATTTGACTGCTGCCAACTTGAGCTGCTTGAGCGCCACAACCTTCAGTGGATTCATCCCTTTATTATGAGCATTCAAATGGGCTTTGGATTCGTGTCGATGGATTTGTGCACTTTTTAATGGCTTCCTGAACGCGCCCACTGCTGCAAAAAAACACACGAAGATTAGCAGAAACAAGTGGTGCTGCCGGTGCCAATGCAAACGCGACATGCTGCATTGCATTGGGACACTTCTCCAGTATCGACATCGCAAGCTCTGTAAACCACACCATAGGTGCCCTCATCAATTCGATTCAGTTTCCGATATTGTTGCACACTCCGGCAGGCCGGGGGCCCAGATCCATCATGTGCAATCCGCTGGCGCTTGGCTCTTGGGCAGCTCATCATCCACCATCATGCGAGTAGTGAGTAAGTCAAAACTATGTTGAACCAAAAAACTCAAATGGCCTCGGGGGGCTTCCAGTCGCGCACGGACAACATGAAGCTGCTCTCGTGCACAATAAATGCCGACAACACAACTCAGCACAAGCTGTCATCTTCCGGCGCTCAACCTCTCCTTGGTCACTCCTGCTGTGAAACATTGTCCCGCATTTACGGGCTCGAAGGCAAAAGAAAAACATGTTGCTTGACTACGTCTTTTTCAAGTCATACCACGTTTGGCTTTCACTTTTCTTCTGCAAGGTAATTGTCACCTCCGCCAAGTCATCCAAATCCAAACTCATCATCAACGACAAGAAACACTGCTGACAAAAACTCGCACGTCGATCATCTCAGCTGCCTTAGCCTTCTCCACATTTGTCCGGAAAGTGCTCGTCTCTGGCCTCACATCTCTCGGAAACCGTATGCGTGCATGTGCATGCATGTGTGTGCGGTTGAGGGGTTTCGCTGCTCATGGGATTGAGATGCCGAGAGCCACACACAATGTCGCCATACAGCGGCTCAACTTTGCAAACGTGCACTGCCTGGAAATCTCAAACTTATTGCAGTCGCAGCACAATGACTTTCACTCTAAGGATTGGGCGCCGAGATCTGGAGTGACCTGCTGGCCGTGCGCCGAATGGACATGGCACTGCAACATGATCAAATCTGCCAGACGACTCTGACTGCGGACCTGTGGCCGACTGCCAGGACAATCACACGAGGAGAAGAAAAACACAATACATGCATATACAGACGTATACACTCGCACACACACGCAGACACGCGCACACTCACACACATACACACACAAATGGACATATATATATATATAAGGGTTCAAGGTCACTCATGCCTCACATGCCCAAGATACTGATTTTCCAAGGGGCAGGCGGTTTGTGATAGCATCGACCCGCTGAGAGAATCATTTAGCACGGAGCCCACAGGGCGAAAATACTTGATCAGCATATGGTTCTCTCATCGAGGCCGAGACTGTGAAGAGACTCACTGGGGGAGGAAGTGGGAGGGTGAAACTGAGCCCGAGGCTGAGTTCGGCAAACATGTATCCCTTTCACCCTTACCCATGTGCATTAGATCAAGGGTTCAAGGTCACTCATGCCTCACATGCCCAAGATACTGATTTTCCAAGGGGCAGGCGGTTTGTGATAGCATCGACCCGCTGAGAGAATCATTTAGCACGGAGCCCACAGGGCGAAAATACTTGATCAGCATATGGTTCTCTCATCGAGGCCGAGACTGTGAAGAGACTCACTGCCGCCGCCGCTTTCCACTTGCCCCGGACTGCCGACTAGCGGCATGCTCAAGCCGAGGATTCGCAACTGAATGCTGAAAGTGGTTCCACCAAGGCCAAATAGATGCTTTTGTTTTCGGAACGCGAAGCTGGGTAAGCAAAGCGAGGGAGTCATCGAGGTACATGCGTGCTGTCCGTTGACTCTGCCATCTACCATAGACGCAAAGCTGATCTAGAGACCATCCTTTGGAAAACCAAAACGTGGCACCCCCACGGCGCAAGCTGTAGGGTCGAAACTCATGCTCTTCAAGATGCAGGGCCTCTACTGCTTGCGAAAACTTTCGTCTCCAAGTTTGTGGGGAAACAGAAACCAGATGGGCCGAGGGAGGAGCGGTACGAATCCAGTTCCAAACCCGACACGCAACGTCAGCGACTCGAAGTGTGACTGACTCGCTGTGTCCTGTGCGCTTGCCGGTTTTCGTACTGCGAAGTGTAAGCACAACCGCGGAGTAAGCATGCGTCATGTGAAAATCTGACGCTTTCAACGCGAGCACCTCACCTGTGCGCAAAAAGACTGCGTAGTAGCCTAAGAGGATGGACAACGCCATGAGTGCATCTCCATGAAATAACCAATAGCCTGCCAATGCTTGTACAAGGTGTTCGGGCAAAGGAGGGGCCCTGCAGGGCTCCTCCCGCAAACCCCAAGTTTTGAGTAATCGCCAGGCCAAAGGCAAATGTCCACGCACACTTGGCTGCGCATCTTGTATGGATGCCAATGAGTCGTTTGCTAAAGAGCGGGGTTGTCCGGAAAACCACAAGTGTTCAATGTAATCAGACACCACCGAATCAAGGAGGCGCAGTTGGGTGGGCAACTGTAAGAGGCAATCCTGCAAGTACCTGTGAAACGCCTGCAATGCCTTGCTGTAACGGAGACGTGTGGCGGGCTGGACTGTTAAGGAGCGAAGGGAGCCTAAATTGGAACGACGCTGCTGCCGTTGGTGGCGGGTCTGTGCCTCAAAGACGCGTTTCACTTTGCCCATTTGCGGACTAACGTTTTTCTGGATGGCTTGTCAGCTGGGTTGTCCGCTGAGCGGACATACCCAACCATGAGATGAAGCCCAGACCCTAGCAGCAGCACGTTCAACTTGTTGAGCACTCGCTGCACCCTGCGGCTGGACGAGCGACCGCGAGACACGACATGAAGTACCACCAGGTTGTCAACCAAATGCAAGGCTCTGGAGGCCCGGTCGTGTCTGCGGAACAGTCGCCACCGCACAGATGTCAGAAGTGCTCTAAGCTCCCTAATGTTGATGTGTTCGCTCCCTTGCCGCCATTTCCACCCCACAATCTCCCGCCAAATCCACAGTTTCGGAGTGATTTGAGCTCTGAGGGGCTGCGCACTCCCCTGAGCACCTGACGCGGAGATCAAAACATCTTCCCCTTTGTGACTCATTAGTGTGGTCAATGCCTGCAGCAAATCCGCGCCGGCTTTAACGTCGCGCTCATGGTTTCGTGGCAAATTGAGCGGTGGCCGAAAAAGCAAGCCTCCCATTGTGGGCAGATTGCCTGGAACAAACCTCTGCAGAAGCTGCGAAACATTCAGCTGCAAACACAGATTTGAAGGCATCAACACATTTTTCAAGAACCATGCCAAGGTTGGAACGTGAAAAGCCTGCTTCAGCTGCGCAAACTGCCAATCTGATTTCATCGAAGCCTCCGATGATTGCACCTTTCGACTGTGGATATTGGTGTAACCCACGGGGAAACCCTTGTCAGCCTCAACTTCTTGAAGGGACAGTAAGCGCTGTTCTCCTTTCCGATTGCTCAAACACCCCGAGTTTTGCGGCGTCCAACCTGCCAACACGAAGGGCTTCCACGAAGACGACACTGCGAATTGAAGACGCGCGATGGCAAACTGCGAGAAGTTGTCAGGCAGAAAAATTTGAGCGCCTGGTTCTGAAGCAAGATCCCACGTGACCCAAAACAAGCTCTGCTGTCGGCACAGACTCAGCTCTGACGAGTCAGTCAAGTAAGGAAGCATGTCTAAAGCCTTGCAGCTTTCCGCTCGTTGTAAAGCTGACATGCCTGCACCGGCTGCCACAAAGACATGGACAGAGGCCCAGGAAAACTCTTTTTCAACGATGCGCTGGACGCGACGAATGTCCGAGAAAAAGCTGTCTTCAATGTCTGCGCGAGCAAAAGCCCCGAACAACACCACAGAGACGCGTGGGGAAGATGCTACCCATTGAGCCACTACACGTTGGTCAATTTGCCCGATGTCACTGAAAACCTGAACGTCCTGGAATTGTGCCATCACAACTCTTTGAGCAAGAGGGTCGCTCTCTACACTGATGTATCCTGCGACTGGAACACCTAGTGCATCCAACGCAGTCCGAAAAGAAGAAATGCCGTCATGAAGGCTGATGGCCAAAACTTGCTGAAAATCCGGAACTTCCAACGCTTCTCCCCGAAGTAAAGCACGGCTAGCGGCCAACCCATACCCAGTCACCCCCGTAGAACAGCAAACGCCCCCTCCGGATGAAGATGCGTCGCTGCAAACAACCCATGGAGAAACGGCGGCGCGCAAATTGATGAATGCCAGTGGAACCAAAGCCAAGAATGTCAATATCTCTCGCCTGACTGCAGTTGGGATTGGGAGTCGTCCCGACTTGCATCTTTTCAAATGTTGTTGCAAGCTCCACACTTGTTGCAAGCCGCCTAAAAGAGGACGTCTGAACGTGGCCAAAAACACCAAGCCCCCGCACACTGCTTGCAGTTCTTTGAGAGAGCAGGTCTGCTGTTGCGAAAGCACAAAAGCCATGCAAACAAATTTTAAGAGCTTGTCAGGTTTCGGGTACACGACTCCTCGAACTCCATCAACAACAGACCCTTGAACTTCGGCGACTGGCTGTTGTTGAACGCATTTCTTGGGGTGTAGAGGGATTTGAAGCTGTTGATACTCTCGACGCAACGCACGAACATCGGGCGACAACTCCCCTTGAAGGAGCGCGGCTGCACGCCGATCCACAGCCCGCAACTCATCGAAATTATCAAGATAAATCCTCCAAAGAGGGGACCCTCGCGGCCAAGGCCTATCCTTTCGAACTTCCCTGCTGCTTAGGAGTCGCGATTCGGACTGGGCTTGTAAGACCAAGTTTCTGTGAATGTGCTGAGCTATGGCGACACTGTGTACATACCCCATGGGCAATACTTTGGACGTGATGAAGTAGTGGTGGCCATCGTTGGGACACAAGTTCGAAGGAACCCGTTTCGAAAACGCCAACAACCTTCGCCAGCAACGAGGCATTTCAAAGATGTAAAAGAAACACCGCACATCTTCACTGCTCGTCAACAAAAGTTGGTCTTCCGAAAGTTGGAGGCACTGAAACTGTTGTACCATTGGCAAAGTACGTAAGTCTCCTAGAAAAGGCCTGAACAAAGCATTCAGTGGGATGCAGTTCATGATGAGCCGCAGCACTGCGTGCTCACCACATGTTTCATTCTTTGCGACGCCAAATAACCCCCCCATGACCCTATGGCCTCCGGGGGCCAAAATATCCTCCTCCCGTATAAGCTCGCAGACTCCCTTTTCGAGGAGTCCCTGCACCACACGGGGCCAGTCTGCATCCTTCACCATGACTTTTGGTGTTGGAAGAGAGCCGGCATCTTCCACATGCATAAAATGTTCTGGATGTTCCAAAAAGTAACGAACGCCTCC